TAACTACATTCAGCAACGGCGGTCAATTCGAGTTCCTACCTGTCACTCTCGAAAGCGCAAGCATATCTATGTCGGCAGCTCTTCGTGTTGGTGCTCACTGCGGTCTTGAGGTCATTCCACCCGACCCACCAGCCTTCAACGTCTTCAACATGAACTTTGGACCTCCAGCAGTAGAAGCCGGCATTGAAGTCGCCGTCTTCGCAAACATAGCTGAGTTCAACACCAACATCACCTACGCTGCAGATGACGAAGACTGCAAACTGAAAGTCCTGCAAGAATACAACTTTGCTGTAGGCGCCATCGCTGGAGCCTCAGTCGCTGTTGAATTCCTCAACGAGACAAAGACATGGGGTCCTGTAGCAGAACTATCTACTGCCATCTTCACGACCACGTTGGTGGAGGTATGTGGTATTCAAGGCAAGCCTACTCCGGCACCCACCATCACACCTGGACCGGAGAGACGTGAGGATCTCACCGAAACGGTGATAAGTACCGAAATCACCAGAAGCGGTGTCAGCTGCGCTATTCCCGGGCCTGCCAACTGCCCCAACTCGAAGCAAGTCTCAACTACTACGAAGTTCAGCTCCACTATTACAACGTCAGTAGCATCAGGCGTTGAAGCGACATGGCCTGTCGAAGCATCCGATACCGTCGAAGAAACCATTGCATTCGGCACACAAGCGAAGACTATGAGAGCTGTGTCCGGCAAACCAACACCATACGTTGCTTCACCTGACGAAGATGGTAATGACGATGTACACAATCTTGTCAATGGCTCGACCGCAGGTGTCAGTAACAAAGTCATCATCGGTGTCTGCGTCGGTCTAATTTTGCCCATCCTGATTGCCATCATCGGAGCTGTTATGTAAGTCTGACCTTTCCCGAAAGCTCTTGCACCGTCTCAAAGACTGACTTATTGCGACACAGCTTCTTCCGTAGGCGCAAGCGGTATGCTGCCGTGGGCGGACCTGCGGCACCCATGGTCGCTGAGCCTTACACCGGCCACACCGACTATAAGGACCGGATTGAGGAGTCGAAGTATTCTAACGTTGGTGTTTCGGAGATGCGCCTTTGATTTCCTCTCTCTCAGTGCTGTTCACAATTTCCTTTCGGTCCTGTCCAATGATGCGATGAGTCTTTCCTTTTCTCGTTAAGTTCGGGTACTCGGTCGGCGTCTCACCTGTCTCTTTATCTTTTGCACAGTCACCAACCGATTTAAAAATCACGGCTATATACCTTAGACTTCAACTCATTTCATTGCTCGCACGAGCCCCCAGCGTGAAGCTGTTCGCTGACCCCGCTTGCGGGACCGTGCGGAGATAGCAAGCGGACCGATGACCTTATCCGGCTTAGCTCGCGACGTCACTACCACCGAAGCTCACCACTGAACCACCGTGATTTTCATCCTCCGCAACTTATCCGGAAGCTTCACCATGGCAAGTGGATCCATTCTGTGCAAAGACAGTTTAAGCCGACGGCCAAGTATCGCCGAGACAGCCACCCCGCACGCTGCATGGCGGGGAAGTACCTCTGTAGGCTAATGTCCTGCGAAAAAACGTTCTACGGGCAGCGGTTTATGTACTGCCCAGACGGGCCGACCATTGTGTTTCTTCCGTCTATGACGAAGTGTGTGCATGGGACGGAGGGAAATGACCCGTAGTGTGCTCTATCGCATCGTATGGTTCTGCTCGGGTACAAAGTAGCTGTGTATCTACCGGTTTCGCCGTTCACGCTTATCACTCATTCTTAGTGACAGCATCGGTGCCATCAACCATCAGATGAGCTAGTTCTGAAGTTGGTATATTCCCCAACATATCACCACCCACCAGGATGACGGGTTCATTGCGAGCGCTGTACAACTCGTACAGCATCCTACTCCTTGGCTTCTTATTCTCAATCTGCTTCGACTCCGCAGCCGCTCATGTGGTGTCTAAGCCACGATCTACAACATCAGGCCGTCAACGCACTTCGCTAAATGCAGACTGGCGATTTGAGCGATTCACCTCGGATCCAGATGGCTTGAGCTACGAGGGCTTGAAGCCGTGGATGTTACCTTGCGCGAACGACTTCATCACTGGAGCAAAGTACGAGAGACCATCTGGTGCCGCTCCCGGCGCCAATGTCAGCTATGTTCAGTCGAGCTTCGACGATGCCGCATGGGAAGCTGTCTCGCTCCCGCATGACTGGGCTATCTCCGGCACATTCGACGCCCCGGGCGTTGAGGGAGGTCAAGGTCGTTTGCCGATCAATGGAATCGGATGGTACCGCCGCACACTCTCCATGGATGCGGAAGTCCTCCAATCTGGCAAATCCGTCTTTCTGGATGTCGATGGAGCTATGTCGTATGCTGCGGTATGGCTGAATGGTCACCTCGTTGGTGGATGGCCATACGGCTACAACTCTTTCCGTCTGGATCTTACTCCTTACACGAAAGCTGGAGAGAACACACTCGCTATTCGCCTGGACAACAAGCTCGACTCATCGCGCTGGTACCCGGGCGCTGGTATCTACCGTAATGTTTGGCTTGTCACTGTCAACCCAGTGCATGTTGGACATTGGGGAACCTACGTCACTACTCCTAGCATCTCGGAGGCGGAAGCTACTGTCGAGATGGTCCTTGATCTGGAAAACAAGGGTAACAGCAGTCAACATGTTGAAGTTGTCACCGAAGTCTTCGAGCGTGATGCAATGACGAAACAAGCTACTGGTGAGGCTGTCGCGAAATTTGCTGCAGCGAACGCGGACGTTGCAGGCCATTCTAAACAAGCGGTGCATGGCTCGGTCACAGTTCCAAACCCAAAGCTTTGGGGACCACCACCTAGCCAAAAGCCTAACGAGTACGTTGCTATCTCCACCATATCAGTCGGCGGAGAGGCTATGGACACCTATGAAACGGTATTTGGTATTCGCTCGGTCACGTACGACCCAAACCAAGGTGTTCTCATCAACGGCGAACGTATCTACGTTCAGGGATCTTGCAACCACCATGACCTGGGCGCTCTTGGAGCAGCTTTCAACACCAGGGCTGCGGAACGTCAGATCGAAATCCTACAAGAGATGGGCAATAACGCTCTTCGCACGTCTCACAACCCGCCTGCCCCCGAGTTCCTTGATCTCGCCGATCGATACGGTCTCATGGTCATGGATGAGATCTTCGATACTTGGAATTTTCCCAAAGTGGAGAACGACTTCCATCGTATCTTCCAAGAATGGCACGAGCCTGACCTCCGATCGTTCATTCGCCGTGATCGCAACCACCCCTCCATCATCTCATGGAGTGTTGGCAACGAGCTTCCCGAACAAAGGAACTCTACTGGTACTGAGACTTGCAGAACACTCCAAGACATAGCTCACGAAGAAGACCCTACCCGCCAAGTGACCATCGGTATGAACAACGCTAACGCCACTACTGGAATAGCAGCCGTTATCGACATCGTCGGTCTGAACTACCAAGGTGAAGGCAAAGGAGACTCCTGGGTGAGCACCTTCCCCAGTTTCAAACAAGAATTCCCCGAGAAGATGATCTGGAGCACCGAATCTGCATCAGCACTCAGCACTCGCGGCAAATACCTCTTCCCCATCACCGCAAACAAGAGCGCCATCGTAGGCGGCGGACCAGGGGAAGGCGGTGACCCAGAGAACAACATTGTGTCTTCATACGATCTCTACGCACCTGAATGGGCCGCTTCACCCGATAAAGTGTTCGAACAGCAAGACAGGCATCCATACGTCGCTGGTGAATTCGTCTGGACTGGATTTGACTACATCGGTGAACCCACACCCTACGACAACTCAAGCCGCAGTTCTTACTTTGGCATTATCGACCTGGCTGGTTTCAAGAAAGATCGCTTCTACCTCTACCAAGCACGCTGGAGACCAGATCTACCCATGGCCCACATCCTCCCCCATTGGACGTGGCCCGAAGATCGCATCGGCGACGTCACACCCGTACATGTTCACACTTCTGGTGACGAAGCAGAACTCTTCGTCAACGGTATCTCCGCAGGCCGTCAGTCAAGGGGAAAGTACGACTACAGACTCCGTTGGGATGGTGTGAAGTACCGCCCCGGCAACATCAGCGTCGTTGCATACAAGGACGGCAAAGAATGGGCCACGGCATCTCAGTTCACAGCAGGCTCTGCTGCGTCGCTCAACGTGACTGCTGATCGCACGACAATCACTGGCGACGGCTATGACCTTTCATTCATCACTGTTTCCGTGCACGATGAGAACGGTATCTTGGTTCCAATGGCGGATGATGAGATTAGCTTTGAGATCTCGTCTGGCCCAGGTGTTGTCGTTGCTACGGATAACGGTGATCCGACAGACATGAGCCCGTTCCCGGGGACGAAGAGGAAGGCGTTTGGTGGAATGGCGCTGGCTATTGTGAGGAGTGAGGTCGGCGCTAGTGGAGAGATTGTTGTTGAGGCAAAGGCGGAGGGGTTGACTGGTGGAAAGGTTACTCTTACTGCTAATTAGCTGTAATGTGTGATGCATGAGAGCGATTAATCTGAATGAATTTACATGATATTCGTTACCATCATCAGTGCATCTTGAGCTTGAGTGCAGGACGTGATGACTATCGCTTTGCCCTGGCAAGTCTACGTTAGACGAGTGTGTTCACGAATCGACATCTTTGAGCCAATGTGTGAGTGTTGATAAGCTTCCAGCGCATCGGGTGTTGCGATCTGATGCTCTAGCGCGTCTGCAACGTAGACGCGACTTTGAGAACGCAGTGCATGTCGACTCTGTCGTCGCAAAACGAGATGCAGATAATGGCGTATACTTCCAACACTAATTTCATCCCATCTCTGTCGAGAAAGAGAGAATTTTCTCGTTGCCATAGGAAACTCGCGCGTCCGCGCCCGCAACCCACACAAGTAATATTTTGATCCCACCCGACTTCTGCTTCCTCACCACATCCACACATTCGAGTAAGCCCCCTACCCTTTACACTTCCTCTCATACTCAGACACTTACATCGCCACAGACTAGTCACAATGCAAATTGCCACTACTCAGAAAGTCGTGAATGCGCTCTCTCCTGCCCGCCGCGTCCCCGACATGCGCCGCGCCGCAGTTAACACTAATGTCACCGCCAACCCGGTCAGGCCGCTGTACCAGCGGCTCCATCGACCAACTTCTTCAAGGACAAGGCTAGCTGTCACTCCGGTGGCGGCGAAGCAAACTAAGCCAACACCTCGTGTGTTGGCGTCAAGGACAATTACCACCGCTTCGGCGCCAAGGGTACCCAAGATACTTGCTAGAGCTCGAGCTGACTATAAGCAGAATGCGGATAGCAAGATTGGTAAGACGCGTATCCCGAGGCCAACGATTACGGCGGTGAAAGAGGCTAGTATACGGAGGCAGTCGAGGCTTTGGGCGAGGATGACGAGTGTGGTTATTCGGCGTAAGATTACGGTACTCGCTGCCGAGACCACTACGGAGGCGGAGGATGATGAGGAAGAGTTATATGAGGAGGTCGAGAAGCCTACGATGGAGTTTGAAGAGCCGGCGTCGGAGATCGATGAGCCCGCGGACGACGACATGGACAACACTTCGCTCATGTTCAACGACAACAGCTTCGATGACTCCGTCAGCCCCGAGCAGCAGACTTCGGCCATGAACCTCTTCGGACGGAAGATGGTCAGCATGAAGCGGCTCGGTATGGGGCTGCGCACTAACCGGGACTGGTTCGTTGGACTGTCTCGCTGCCCTGACTACACCGGTGATTCGGTTGGTCTAGAGCGCGTGCGATCAAGGACTACGGTGACGACTGAGTCTCATCTGACACAGGACGCCAGTGAAGGAGGTAAGTTCATTGAGTTCGAATTGTTTTCGCAACTAACGGCTTTCAGTTTTAGCTTTTGTCGAAAGGCCACATTCGGCGAAGGCTCCAGCTTCACGGCTGCCTGTTGTCAAGCCAAAATCTGTTGTTGTCTCCGAGAAGACTACGAAACGACAGATGACTACTTCGAAGACAACGTCAACATCATCATCGAATCGCGACGCCACGGCGTTAAAGCCACGCAAGCCGGTCGCTCCGGTGGTAGCTCTGCGCAAGACTCCGAACAAGCCAACCACTGTTGCCAAGTCGCTCCCGAAGCGGAACTTGGCTCCAGTTTCGTTGTCGAAGCGCAGAGTCAGCCGTGCGAACACGAAGAGGTCTGCAAGGAAGCCAGATGCACAGGCATCACGCAAGGCCAAGACTGTACTGAAGTCTGCCATGCGCAAGCCCAACTCCCAGGCCGTCAAGAAGCACGTTTACTACGTTGAGGGACCCATCGCGCCACGCTTCTACGACGTAGAAGAGACCGTCAAGCAGTCCGCTACTGCAGTTGATGGGTCCACAGCGTCCTTTTCCTGGGAGCCACCGACGGGCCTTCTCCACTCTCAGCCACCCTCGCCAGGCAGAGGTGCAACTCAACTCTTTGAAGGCTCCAACAGTGGCGCTCTGACCATCAAGCGACGCTTCCTCAACCGCTACGCCAGCGTCCAGCGGTACGAGGCGCGCCGCCGCCAAGAAGCGTTGGCTCGCAGCGAGCGACCAGCGCTGGGTCAGCTTGACTACGGCAACGCAGACTTCAGGATCGCCTTGCAGGCCTCCAATGTCATCACCGCAGATGACATTGGCATGATGCAGGATCTGAGCAACATCGGCAAGGCTGGCAAGTTGTGGTGCGGTAATCGGGCGATGGAAACACCGGTGCTGGTTTTCGGGTCGTTCAAGGAGCCGTTCGAAGATGCGGCTATCCCGGCGAAGGGTGTCAAGGCGTACAAGAAGCCTTTGCGATGGCCGACCACTGGGGTTGAGTCACGGTTAGAGAAGTTTGCGGACGAGCACCTGAAATGTCTTCAGGGTGCCGATTTGGTGATCTGAGAGACAGGTCTATTGGAGGTAAGAGACTTCTAAAGCGGTTCTACGTTCTTCGCTAACGACGACTATCAAGGCTTTGGTTACGGACGAGAAAGGAGCGCTATTCAAGAGATAGAATGAGATGATGGGAAGATTGATGGAGGTCCGGTAAGATAAGTGGGTTTACGCTAACGATCACCAGCCCGTAACAAAGCCGGGGCGTCCTTTTCGACAGGGCGGGGCGAGTGGTGGGACCCCGCATTTATCGCGAACGCTTTTACGACTTGGAAACCGATGCAGTGGGACGCGAGCGTCTTGGAGGAGGTGCGGCAGGCTCGCACAGGTGTGATGACGGTGTTGTTGGGTTTGATGTTGGAGGATTGCGTTTGGGCGATTTTCACATTTTGTATACCGTTCTTATTTGCTTACTACTCATTCTTCTTTTCGTCGTAGCGCAATGTACTATACATGTCCATCTTCCCCTACGTACGAACCTGTTCTGAAGTCCGGGGCTTCCAGGATCCAGGTCTTGGGGATTTCGGAGTTGGCATGCCGTATCTGGCCCGTTACCGGTATCGTCATCACCGTCATTGGTCCGCCCGTTTTCCCGTTAGTATGAACTCGACTATGGATAGCTCGGCTCCCAGGGAACTGTAGTCGCTTCTCTAAGCGCCTATTCAATTGGTTATTCTACTTCCCAAGCCCACGTGTTGACGGCAATGTCATCGAATTCATGCAGAAGGCAACGCCGAGTTCCAGGTCTCCGTGCAACGTTCCTGCGTCCTGTAAGCCCACGTCGCACGTGTGTTGCTCATTGGTGAATTGTTATCAGGTACAGCAAGGCGCCAAACCTCAAGAGGCAGTTGCCGAGAATTGAGCACGGCCACCGCCAAGGTCGCCAAGGCTGAAATGCCGTGACTGCAGCTACTGAGGCGGCGGCGTCCGCTTTGTTTGCGTGGTACAAATAGTGACAGGCTGCCAGAGAGGTGGCTTACTGTCGTGCTCGCGCCTCTTCTCACCAACTCCACCAAGCCCAGTCGGAGTGAGGATGAAGTTCGCCACTGGATCTAGCGCGTCACTTATCGCCGTCTCGGCGCTGACGGCGATCGCTCAAGCAGAAGACGCGCTGTACAGCAAGCGTATGGTGAAGCGAGGTATCGATGCGGATGGAAACTACAACATCTGTAAGTCAACACGCGGTGACTCCGACATTGCTTCTGCTCACGTGATTCAGCATTCTTCCACATTAACGACGTGCATGCCCATCTTGATGAGTTCAGTTCTTCAGGAACCGACTGCACCAGGCCCGAGCGCGGCTGCTATGGTGGTTACGCGCGTGTGAAGACCGTCATCGAGGAGCAACGCCCCAACTACGAGGACAGTCTTTTCTTGAACGCCGGTGATGAGTTCCAGGGCACTCTGTTCTACGGCTACTACGGCGGCGAGAAGATTGCGGAGACTCTGAACCAGCTCGGATTCGATGCCATGACTCTCGGCAACCACGAGTTTGATGGCGGTGATGCGGCGCTCGGAGAATTCCTGGTCAACCTCACATTCCCCATCGTCAGCGCGAACGTGCATTCCGAAGACGAGAACGTCAACAAGACTGTCAAGCCATACACCATCTTCGAGGAGCACGGCTTGGCGCTGATCGGTGTCACTGCAGAGGAGACTGGTAGTCTCAGCAACGCCGATGTTACCACCGTCTTCTCTAACACCGTTGAGGCCGTCCAAGGCGCCATCGATGAGATCAAGGCCACTACCAACATCACCAGGATTGCTGCTCTCACTCACATTGGCTACGACAAAGACCAGGAGCTGGCCAAGGCTACCACTGGTCTCCAGCTCATCATGGGCGGCCACAGCCACACCCTCCTCGGTGACATGGAAGACGCCGAGGGCAAATACCCAACCATTGTTGAGAACCAAGATGGCGATGAGGTCTTCATTGTTACTGCCTACCGCTGGGGCGAGTACCTCGGCTACATCGATGTCACATACGATCCTCAGGGCAAGATTCTCGCTTATCATGGCGCTCCGATTCACCTCACCAACACTACTGAACAGGATGAGGACCTTCAAGAGCAGATTGAGGAGTGGCGCATTCCCTTCGAGGAGTTCGCTGCTGAGGTGCTTGGGACCAGCGAAGTAGAGCTCGACCAGACGACCTGCCAACAACAAGAGTGTCTGCTCGGTGACTTCATGGCTGATGCTATGCTCGCCTACCGCAAGAACAACACCGATGACGTCGACTTTGCTCTCATCAACGCTGGTGGTATCCGTGCCACCATTGATCAGGGTGACATCACCCGCGGCGAAGTCTTGACCTCGTTCCCCTTTGGTAATGCTATCGTTCAGGTCAAAATCGATGGCAAGACCCTCTGGGAGTCGTTGGAGGGTATCGTGACTGGTGTCAACGTCGGCAATGGCAGGGAAGTCACCTCCTTCTTCCAGGTCAGCACAGGCATCAAGGTCGAATACAACCCCGAGAACGCGAACAACTCCAAGCTTGTCTCTGTCATCATCGGCGACGAGCCTCTCAACAACGACACTACCTACCAGATGGTCACTCTTGACTTCATCGCTGGTGGCGGTGACAACTTCTTCGAGCCATCAACCGACTTCATCACCCTGGACACTCAGGATGAGGTACTCACTTCGTACATCTTGAGCCAGACACCAGTAACCATCGAGCTCGATGGACGTATCGAGGAGGTCGACGGCCAGAGGGAGGACACTCCCGGAGCTGGTAACGGTACCAGCAACGGCACTTCACCCACGACTGGTGCACCGCCTCAGCAGACTGAGAACGCAGCTGCACGTCTTGGTCAAGGCGCCGTTGGCGTCAGCGTCTTTGGTGTTCTTTCCGGTCTGTTCATGCTATGAGCTTGAAGCGATCCAGAGGCACGGCGCTGACGATGCGACGTGAATGATATAATAAACCCATTAATGAAATATTTACCCTCATCAGATGCGTCGCGTTTTCACTCTTGTCAAATCGTTCTCATCCTTCGTCAACTATTCGCTATCAGTGTCCTAATACGGCGGGCGACATGCTTGCGCGTAGTATAGATAACTGATGCGAGAGCATCGGAAAGTATAGTCTCGCTCCGGTGAGATCAACATCGAAGTGAATGACAGAGTCAGTAGGTCGTGTGCAAAGCACCTTCTGGCTACATAAGCTTTTGGCTGCTTTACCTAATCACATTCGTCAACAGAAACGCCTATCCAACTCAACTCCAAACGTCGCACTATACTCATCAAAGTATGCCTAAACGCGACAAGAAAAGCGAACCCAGAGTTGTCGTGGGGCGTCTGAGCGGAGTGAACGACATAAGGATCGGCACTCCCGCACATCCACCTTCCTTCTTGCCACCCAATACCACTCCAGTCGCGAAACGCGAACCTAGCATCACTGAATACACATTTGAGCAATATCAAGCTGCCAACCTCAACGATGACGAGAAACACGCCGTCATCGGCAAGCTCCGCGGTGAGCTGCCCATTATTGATCGCGATGAGGTCGACGATGTACTCCTACGGTCCATGGGACAGCAGCTTGAATTAGCGGTCTTTCCGACTTGCAAGATGATGCATGTCGATCCGGCAGCGGTCAAGCGTATGCTAGATGACCAGTTCCGCAAGGCGTACGGAGCGGAGGTTGAGGCTAGCGTGTTGGGAAAACTAGGACTTTGTCGGGTTGAGGATGCAGAAATGGTAGTAGCTGGGGAGAGGATACGTATCAGTACTAAGAAGAAGGGTAAGAAGCAGAAAGTAGGGAAGGGTGAGGAGATGGCGGTAGCGGTTGAGGAAGACGCCGTTGCGAATGCACCATCTCCGCCGAACAAAGAGGTTAAGACGGCGCCAAAAAGCATTGAGGATGATATCAAGGCCCATATTGCACGAAGAAAAAGAGCGAAGCGTGGGGTCAGGATGGTGACGCTGCGGTCGGTAGCTGTGTCGCAGAAATGGGAAGAGTTGAGTAGTAATTCGTGAACTGGTGTGCATGATCAGCAGCACATGCCGCTACTGCCATAGAAGGCTGCTTAATAACATATCGTAATACTAGACACCAGCAAGCGTATTAATCGCCCAACGTCGGAGTCCGTGATGCTAAAGAGCCGTAGTGAGTGTTACGTGGCGGACTTGAGAGGTAGGAGTCGGGCCTCATCATGGCGAATTCACGCGTAACTGGATTCAATAGTTTAAAGATGAGTCTCTGTTTGACCACGCAGCTTCGCGCGAACGCGAGTCCTTCGAAAAGCCGAGCTAGACGCGTGACGTCATGGAGTGCTTAGTCATCCTCGACCGCGGCGCGGGACGCGTTCTCGGCGCCTCCAGGGCTGTTTCCTCAACATCACTGCAACAGCCCAACAACTTGCTAGCTACCGTACCCGCGATTACGGCATTCCGATGCTTCATCATGACTACGAAAGATCGTGTTGTGAAAACCGGATGCTACCCCGATCAACGTCTGCACCTCACGCAAGGAAAAGAATTTAAACACGCCTGCGGCCTACATTAAGACAAAAACATGCATAATGGGTAACCTAACGTTAATGTAGGCTTTAGGATGTCGAGATTTCCCCTCATCCAGGTGGAGGCGTCATATCCTCATTACGATGCATCCAAGACTTTCGACTGGTCATGCTCTACCGGATAGCTTGCTAGACATGTCACGTCTCATAATGTATGTCGATTGTCACACATTGATTTTCGGCGGCAACGAGCTCGTGAGCAATAGCGCAAATCCAGTCTCTACGGTCTGTAATGTAACGCGTGGTCATGAGGCTCGGGCAAGCAAACCTAGAGTTCCTCTCGCAATAACTATAAGTACTGCTCAGAACGCCCTCTAAACCCACACCATAACAGTTCATTCGCATTCATTCCTGATACCCTCAGAAACAGAATGGTAGATCCTTCAGATGAAAAAAATGTTCCCAACATCGAACCCGTTCCCTGGATCGTCCAACCCCCAAGCAAGACCGCTATCTGTCACGTCGACTACCCCTTGGGAGATACAGCGGAGCTCTATGTCGTCCCGATCACTGTCAGCAGACAGAACAAGACCGAACAGTCAAACCCCATCATAAGCCAGAAACTGCGACGCAAGGCCATTACTGAGTACCTCACGCTGCATGACTTCCACGACCGCTGTGCACTTAAACTCTGGGCTCAGAAGAAAGTCGCCGCACAAGAAAACGCCGATAATTTAGTCTGGCCTATCGACGAGCTCGTGTTTTTCGCATCCGACCAAGTTCGTGTGGATAGTCTCCCGGACGAGGCGAAGCAAGGCACTATCCTGAAGAACACACTCGCGACAATCAAGGCATCCGATGGTACACCAAGAAAAGAGGCTATCCGTTGCGCACTCGACTTTGCCCAGGGAAAGAAACTATCAGCAGAAGGCACCGACTGCACGGGATACTGGAAAAAGGTAGAGCTTCTTGTGCGCAAGTTTGGCCCCACCATGCCCTCCAAGGACGATAGCCGTGCAACGGGATTCAAGATGGGTACTTTACTCCAAGAGGCCATCAAACGGACGCACGAGAAAGAAGCTACCCCCGCCCGATTCCCGAACTTTCAGACTACCATCAAAGGAGCTGAGCAACTCAAGATTCTGTTTCGCACAACGTTGAAGCTCGATCCTGACCACCGAAAGCTTCGCGCCGAGGTCGATCTTGTTCCTGGCATCAAGGGTGCCATGGATCTACATGATCTCATCGCGAGAACCTTTGGTCCCGGCTCACTAGATGTGGGCAACACTCAGCTCTTCCAGAACGTCCGGACGATGCTGATAGGTCTTGCCGTCGTCCGCAAATACGAACCGGGGTCTCAACCAGGCTCCAGCTCATTGGGTCAAGCGACTGGTATGTCACACGACAGCGGATCCATGGAGTACAGTCCCTCAAGCAAAGGCAAGCGTGCTGCTTTATCGCCCATGTCTACTTCTCAAAGAAACTCACGTGCAACAACAAGAGTCGGCTTGGGAGGCAGTAGCAATGCAGAACGCCCCACTCCGAGCTTCCCAGAGTCCGTCATTGTTGATTTGCAGCCGGCGTCTCGAGTTCCGGCCTTCTGGAAGGATGGCGAGAGATGGACGGTTACTCAGTATCTCTTCAAGAGTAAGTGACGCGACTTTGATCAAGACATGGTTCCGACTGACACATCATTGTAGCATACCCCCAACTGAAGGAAACTAAGCTCCCCGGATCGCCGCTCGCCAATATCGGGAAAGACACCTGGGTGCCACTCGAATTCCTCAAGACGGCCGGGGAGGCAGCTTCAGTACAGCAGGTTCCAGCTGTAGGCCACCTGATAGCTTCGCTAAAAGGACATCGAGCGAAATATGACCTAGCTGAAAATGAGGGGCGCTTGGTCGAATTCCTCAACGATCAAATGAATGGCATGCGAAGGCGCCACGAGGTAAGTCAACATCGAGATGTTGCCTATAGAAAGAAAGATGAAGTGCTAACGCATTAGTAGGGTATGAAGCTACTCGTGGATAAAGACATCGGAGAGATGAACTCGCTCAGGTTCCCATCGAACGAGACAAAACGCGTCGATCGCAACCCTGTGGAGGGACCTGAGACTGGCGCCACGATCAAATGCGGCATCATCTATGTTCGACCCAATGGAATGCGCTCCACAGACTTCGAAAGCTTCGCGAAGTCGCTTGTCACTCGACTGGACGCTCATGCGGCACTCAACCAGGAGCAGCAGATTCTCGCGTTAGATTTGTCACACACGAGCCCTATCGCCTGCATTCCTGACGTCAAGTCGCTCCTGGTACTGCGTGAAGACACTATCGAGGAGATAAGAGCGTTCTACGACAGCAAAGTTGACACCATCATCGCCGTGGTAGATGAGCGGGGTCGAAACAAGCAAGAGGTTCGTTACATTCGAGCAGAACTACAAAAGTTCGGCAACAGAAAGCTTGGCGCAGTCGTGCTTTGTGTCAATAGAAAGCACCTCGAGCCTGGAGCCGACCAAACAACAGGACTTCCTGCGCCTCTTCCTCTCGGTATCTTGCAGAAGCTGAACGCCCTGCAAGGCGACCCCAATTTTGTCCCCGAGAAGCTGCTCAATTTGGAGACAGCAAACAAGAGATTGATGATTGTAGGGGCTCACATTTCACACTCTGGATCCGCTGCCGCCGCTAGTTGCCCCTCAGTCGCCGCGCTTGTTGGTAGTGTTGACGAAGCACTGATACATTACACGACTAGTGCCCGATTACAGACGACATTGAAGGTTACTTCCTGGAAGAAAGACTGGGGAACCTCCGAATTGAAGTACGAAGTCGAATCGCAGATCCTTGATCTTAGCAGCATGATGCGCGAACGTATCTAGGCTTGGAAAGGGAAGCAAGGGGCTACGAACGCGCCACATATCGTGTTCTACCGCCATAGCAATCAGTCCAACAGCGAAGACGTTGTGCAGAGAGAAATCGCTGCAATTGAAGCTGCATGCAAGGTATTCACTTGGGACGATGGCAATACGACCACCTTCGACTATGTGCTGGTCAACAGGAACGCCCACGTCTTTTCGTCATACCGCAATAACCCCAGCGAAGAATTCTCCCCGAACGCCGCGCATGAGTTCAACATCGCTGACAGTGCTGGGCAAGCTGGATACAAGTACCAATACTACGTGTGGGACACGCCTGGCAAACTCCTCACCGGTGAGCAATGCAAGATTCTCACACGCCATCTCAACTCGAACTTCCAGCAGAAGAACGCTGAACTCGCTATCGCACTTCCGGTTCATTACGCACAGAAGCTCGCCAAGCGAACGTACGACTACTTTCTTTTCGCTACCACAAACCAGTACGACCAGCTTTCGAGCGTGCAGCGACGATTGGAATTCTCCGACGAAAAGACATACCAGAACGATCAAAAGATGGCAGATATGATGAACGAGTATCTGCTTGCTTACGGCAAAGTTGAAGCGCGCGTGAAAACGCAGCCAGGTCGAAAGAACCCTTGGATGTCACAGCTTGACGACAAGATGTTCTACCTCTAGTTGTCTGGCTAATCTTCACAGCTAGTAGCCAGGGCAGCTTTTTTGACCTCGTTCTTGGCTCTCCTTCTTTTCGCCACCATCTTTTTCGACTCTTCGTCACCTTCAAACCCCCCTTATTTCCTATGTTCGCGCATTCACCGCCTCACTCGCTCCCCCTGCACCTGCCCCGTCCTGCCCACCTCTCCTTTCATTTCCTTTGTTCCTTGTTCTTTGCGATCTCTTACCGCCCCACCCCCCTTTCCCTGCCCACACCATGCCCGTTTTCCTTTGACCGTCTCGATCCCTGTCTTGCGTTCTGATTTCCGCGCTGCTTTCACTTTTGATCTCCCACGAGGTCTCTAGTTAGTCACTCATTTAGAAAGAATACCAGTCACTCCTTTGAAAGCACATTTGTCTTGCCATGATCTGAGTTATTGAGAGCCCCGCAATAGCCGACGTTGGCACTTGCACCTTATACAAGGGAAAGATTGAACAGGTTTGCAGACTACATCAAGATAAGTACATGCAAAGTGGGTGTGTTAACATCGATGTAGACCCTGGGGTGTTCACATTTCCCCTAGTTTGACGTGCGTGTGAGAGCTTTTGTGCGCCAGAATATGGCGTCATCATGCATGATATTGTCATGAATTAATCTAAGACCATGTCGAATGTCAAGGAAGTGGAGACGGTGCGTGCGCAGTGCTTCGGTCTTTGCGACGGCGCTAATAGTTAATTTCAATTGACAATTGAGTTGACTTGATGATCTCAAATAACAACGAAAGAAGCTTATGCAAGTACAATCCTCTTCCACTTCATCGGCCTGCGACACGACTTGAACACGCCTTCTCGCTGGAGATAGCCAGATCCAATCCTCTCGGCGACATCCCCGTTCCACTCAATCATGAGGACTCTGTACCTCTGAGAAGGAACGTAAGAAGCACTCTCCCGCCGTTCATAGCTCAAATCCCCCTCTTCGGAGATAACGATGAACTCGCGACATGATAGAGCCGCCTCCACTTCCTCTAAGTTGACCCCAGCATCGTATTCGCACTTTCCGACAATATTGCCCTCCGAATCTAGCATGTTGCCGTCCCCGCCCCCCATAACAGGCTGTTCACGCGGTGGATGATCCCGAACCTCGTAATAAACCGATACTGTCCAGAAATGTAGTACCGATGGAAACCCCGCAGTGCCGTCTGAGCGCTCGTAGCATAGCTTAGTTGGTAGGGAGTTGCGTGGGAGTCCTGGAAATCTCGCCTCGTGGGCTTCTCTGGCCAGATCGACATCCTTGCCATACTCATCGCCGCCATGTAGCCATCGGGGTTGGGCGTCAGCACTCGCGTTGTCGCAGACATAATACACTATCCACGTCGCATGCTTGAGGCAAAGTTGAATAAGTTCCATCTCCGATGCCTTATGCACCCATTCTCGATGCCCGTCATTCGGATATCGCTTTGCGTCGCCATACATATGTAGATAGTCAATCTCTTCGCTGCAATATAACTGAAGACCACTCCAGCCTGCCCAGGTCCAACTTGGGAAGCACTTGCGTCGCTCCAAGGTGCCGCCCTTCCAGAATAAGGCGTGATTGAAGTAAGCAAGCGGTAGGCCCTCATAACAGCTTCCAACACCAATTCGTTTCACCACGCCAGCGAAGGCATTCAGTATGTCCTCTTCTTTGGTGATCTTGAGTTTTGAGTACCTTGCCAGTGCCCACCGGTAATTTGTATGGGGAAGATGCCCATGTAGACGTCGCTTGAGAGAGAATGTAAACTCACTCTTGTTGTTAGAGACCACAAGTCTATCTGATGAATTGGGAACGCAATCGTCGGGGCCATCTTCAGTATAACTAGCTTCATCGCATAAGAAGTATACCTGATCGTTTGGGGCAAAGATAAGCAACCTAGATGCCAGCTGGAATTCTTGGAAACTGATATGCGTGAGTGAGTGTTCTTCGTGCATTGACATGATGCTTTACATACGTCCATGCCCTCTCGCAATACTTAGTCTCTCTAAATAAGTGCTCGATATCAAAATGTGCCAGGAGGGTCACCTCCGACGATATCGCGCGAGTGATTTGCTTACAGTAGCGTTCTATACTCACACCGCGAAGCGGATCGTCTGCGCTACTGCAAGTCCCCGCAACGATAGTAAGAAGCGACCCTGCGTAGATGTTGTCCATGTTGGAAATGGTAGCCTGCCTCGCAGCGGCGTCGTCGGAAACGATACACAGAGCATCCACCCACAGGTATCTCTCGCCGATCTTCTCTACTAAGATCATAGCATCGCGTATAGTCTTGGGAATGGTGGGAGAGGATAGACTAGACTCGCGGGAGAGGTCCAGGAAGTTGTCCTTTTTTAGCTGCACCTGAGTGGCATTTCCCCACACATAACTCAGGGCTATATATCGGCAATTCTTCGGGGCAGGGACGATGCGTTGGCTTACGACGTCGATGACAAGAACGTTCTCGACGGATATGTCGCTTTCCAATTTTGATCTCTCTCGGCAATGCGAGTGTTCGCTCTCGCAACGGGTGATCCAATGTTGGATGTGCTCAAAATCCAGAAACGATGGACCCTGCGGAAGGATGCGACTGAAGTAAGGGTACCTTAGAAGATCTTTAGTGGCTGGTCGGATCCCCGCTCCCCATTCATAGATTCTGTCCAGACCATGGATTTCCAGTGCGATGCAAGGTTGAAATTTGGATTTGGTATTCCCCGCTATAGGCGTACGAGAATTGACCAGGCAGGTTCGTGCACCCCGATCGTCGACAACAGAGGGTATCTTGTAGGCAATAGTCGCTTCGATCAACTCTGCGATGAGCTGACATAGGTCGCATTCCGATGGCCTTATGTATACATTGCATTTGTGCGACCACGGCGGCTCCTCGAGATCCGCTGGAGGAAGGAACTTTGCGGGGTTTATATTGAGTTTAACGCACTCGTCGCAAAACCTCATGATGATATATAGAGTAAAAGGATGTAGAAGGAACGATGGTGATGCCTCTGAACAGCAATGAGGGGCAATTTCGACCCCACCAAATTCCAGGCATGAGGCACAGCAATACGCCTACAGCAGCTCTAACTCTATCCACACATGATGGACAGGGCATGCGTAGCCGCCTCGGGCGGCTATGAAAGCTAAGACCAAGAAACGACAATAACGTCTGGAAATGGTTCAGCTGCTGAAGGGGAAGGCATCGCGAACGCTGACGAAGGCATCCTGAGTCTACGACGACATGAAGAGAACCGGTAGTGAGATATTGCCAGCCAACAAGAAACAACTAGAGGTAAGATTCGATGGAGGGTGCATTGTTGAATGGTGTGAAGATTTGTCGCGGATGAGGAAAGCACGAAGGCCACAGTGAGGCTGCGGCGGATGCTGCTAAGCCTCGCGCTATGACATCACCGACCCCTTTCACTCGTGCCACGAATCCATCGAGAAAGTACGGGCATGGCATTTGTTATGCACGCACGAGTTGAGTATATCAGGATATATAAATGAGAGACATGGAGAGCATGTATATTTGCAGTCAAACACTGCGGATCAAATTGCTGCGCTATTCAACTCCACGTGACTTCTAAAGACCATGCCCACCATCGACGAATCAACAACAAAAGTCTAGCCAAAGCGTTATCAATATAAAAGCTACCAAACTCCAAATAGTACGTTCTCATCTTGATCGAACCTCGATAATACGCTCCCATCTCGCTCAGCTCAATGTCCCCTGGCGACTCCTCTCCACGCCTGCCGGCGCCGTGCCAATTTTGCTCACGAGCTCCGCTTCATCGGCCCGATTCAATTTAGAGTCAAGCGCATCATCCAGACCAGTATTCCTCTTGCGCATCGGACTCGTCGCATCTGCCGCACTATCATCAACATCGAGTTCCTTTTCCTTGCGTCTGCTCGCACCCATGCTTGCTACACTTGCATCGTCGCCATCGGACTTCTTCTTGGTCTCGCCCTCACTGTTTTGCACTTCGATGGTGACATCGGTGTTGTCTCTGCTGAAGACGCGGAGACCGACGACGCACACAGCGTTCCAGGGGTCGCGCTCGAATTCATCTTCCTCTTCGACGTAGGGGTAGCGCGTGTTGTTGTAGCAGATATAGCGCTGGCGTTCAGAGAACATGCGTGGAATGTTGTCTTCATCGTCAGAGAGATCTGAGTCGAGCGAGCAGGGGCCATCGAGATCAGAATCCCACGAGTCGTCGGACATGTCGTCGGGCGAGTGCATTCCGTGCTGAGCGCGGTGGGAGTACTCGCTAGCACTTCGTCCGCGAGTGACCTGAATACCGGGTCGGATACCCGGGATGGGGGTGAGTGTAGCCCGGCGAACCCCAGTTGATGGTCGGTGCTCAGGACGCGGACTGTATGCCCTTTGACCGGGCGTTCCAGGGCGAAACTCATCAGTCAGCGGCGTGGGCATAGGCGTGGGCAGTGGCGTGGGAATAGGCGAATCCGTCATCTGGCCTTCGTTGTATCCGTCCCGACCTTGGTATGCGCCAGGAAAGTCTGTGTTGTAGCCGCCGCGACCCTGAAGCTCCCCAGGCATGTTTTGATTGTAACCTCCGCGACCCTGGAGTTCTCCTGGCATGTTCTGGTTGTACCCCCCTCTGCCTTGCAGCTCACCAGGCATATTCTGGTTGTACCCTCCTCTACCCTGGAGCTCTCCAGGCATATTTTGATTGTAGCCTCCGCGCCCTTGAAAGCCTTGACTATGGGTCGCAGGAGAAGGTTGGGGACTGTGGTGGTAACCACCACGTCCTTGAAGGATTGCAGCTTCAGAGATCGCAGAGCCAGTGCTGTCGCGGTTGTAGCCGCCACGACCCTGCAATGCTCCGGGAAGCGATGCATTGTAGCCATCACGACCTTTGTTGTATCCGCTCCGGCCGCCAAAACCGCCACCTGGACTAGCCGAGCGCTCACGGAGTGGGTCAAGGCTCGATGCACGATGGTGCCTGGAGACTGCTTGGTGAACAGGCTTGGCGTCTTCGTCGCCGGAAGTGCGGTTGTCTTCCTCGACATTTATTCCAAGACCAGACAGGCTTTCGAGCTTCCTCTCGACTTCTGCCATGTCGCCAGATCGATTGAGTTTGCGCGTCTCTTTCGCAGCTTTCTTCAGGTCACGCAGCTCAGCCTTTTGGCGTAATCTCTTACGGCGTTGATGAGCTTGCTTCATCTCGGCCTTCTTGTGCTCAACTCTCTCCTCTTTGTGACGTTTGGCCTTGTCTTCTTCTTGCTCCCTGAAGTGTCCTTTGGCATGCGCGAGATCGTAAGACAGCCCGATCGAGAGCAGTTTCTCGCGCCGTTTGGTACAGGTCATCCGAATGACTTCATCAGGTGTCGGATTGTCAGGAATTCTGGTCGCTTTGATCTTGAGCAGGACGGTGTAATTACCAGGCTCAAGATCCAGCTCGGTAGAGACAGAGCGCGTCATGTAGTACGTGCCGTTGCTGCGAACGATGTACTCTTCTTCGTCGTCTTTGTGGAGCCGGAACTGTAGGTTAAACTCATATTGACCTTCCAGACCTTGGTAGTAGCGATCATCAAGCTGGCTAAGCACGATGACTACGGGGCCGCCCTTCGCGAGATGTATCTTGAATTTGGTGTCGAGGTAGTCGACGCTCCACGGAACGTTGACACTTGTCCACTGCTGAGAAACCGTCCATTCCGGACCGAACAGTCGTGTACGGTCAAAATGCTGGTAGGTACGCAGAAGGTCCTTGTACGAGATCCAGAAGACACCGTCGTCCCCGAATTTGTGGTCTAGCTTCTTCATCCATTCTGGAGTCCATTCTTCTGAACCGTCGCTCCAGCGACCAGTCCACTCGGTGCGGCCCCAGGGGTTCCGAAGCTTCAGCAGGCGCTGGCCATCGATCTCGCGTGCTTCCATGACGGAGTATGCATGTTTCTCTTGGATACCTTTGCGAGCGCCGTAGATACCGCCCATCTGGCCACATCCGAAGAGAAACGTCTTATTGACATTCATGAGCTCTTCGTGCCAGAACTTGTCCTTATCCAAGATGTCGGTTGCAAAGATTTCAGACGTAACGCCTCCAGTCAGGTCCTCGATACCTTCGCCTACAAAGCCGCCATTAATGGCACTGTAGTCGCCGTGTGCTTTGGCAAAAGCCTTTTCCAGCAGTGGCAGCCATGTTTCATTGGCATCGCTGCATTGCGCGAAGTACAGGGCCCTGGAACCGGTTTGCATGACAGTCCGGTACTCATCTTCGGGGCTTTTCCGGTTCTGAAGTTCCAACCAGTGGGAGCGCTCAAGTTTTGCTTCGTCAAAGTCCTCCTTGATGAGATATAGCTTGTCGTCGATGACCTCGGATATCCATTCGCCATCTGAGATAAGTCAGCTTGTGAGCTACCCGACCATATAGTCATGTCTTTACCTCTGTGGAAGACAAATCCGTACACGCCGACCTGCTCATCGCGCGCAACGCACACCCGCTGTATCAATTCTTCCTTGTTCGAGATCGTCGCTAGTGCCGACATGAACCAGCAGTCACCGTCGTTGCCCTGTCGTACATCGTTCGCGGTGGCGCCTTCGATGAAAAATCGTGGTTCATCGAAGATGTCCTGTGACGAGTTAGGCATGCGACGATAGTGTGGTGGTAATACATACCTCGACTCTCTTAACCGACAAAGGATGGAAGTCGGCGTTCTCTTCATTGAGCCCAGTCAAGCAGTCGGCGGGAGTGTCTGGAATAAGCTGCGACCGTTTGAAGTCGGCCTCTATATCGAAATGTGGATCTCGATACTTTTGGTTCAGTCGTCGGCATTCTTTGACGATCTTTGCGACCTTTCTGGTGCAGGCTTCCTTGGCCTCCTCGTAGGATGCAAGCGCATTGACCCCAGGTATGGAACCTCTCGGCGCATGTGCGGCGGCACGTTTCGCATACAGATTGTCGGGTAAGATTGTAAAGATCTTACCGGGGTGTTTGGTCGTAAATTTGTTCCAGAACTCGTCGATGTTCCTCTGAGGAGCTTGTTTTCTGACCGGCAAGCGTGGCCGTGGGGCAGGAGCAGGCGTCTCTTGAACCATGCTGGGCGCCCTAGAATGTGGAGTGGTGATGTTGATGAAGTCGTTGTGAGTACCATTCGATGCCATTGTCAATTCTGTGCCGCGGCCCAAATGCTCAGGGGCTGGCTATGCTTCTTGGGGCGTACGGCGTCCATTGGGGGCTCAGTCGTTAATAAATGATTTGGGATGACGATGGAATTCTCAGCCCCCAACGAAGCTTCATACAGCTGCCATGTATGGTGTGGTATTTCGAGAGCCTGTAAGAAAAGAAGTGGGTCAGTCAGACACGAGGCGTTGCTCGGCGCTGCCGCAGGGCCCCCGCTCGCCATGCCGCTGCGAATCAGCTTGCCGCGGAGCTTCCGAACCCATGCTCGCGGCCGTCATCAAGCGGAGAGGCAGATACAACGGCGATCGGCTGCAGCTGCACTGGCTTGCATCTTCAGCTGCAGACAGGGACTGACGACGAGTTAGAGTGTTGGGTTGGGACGCGACGCAGTAGGGAGGCTCTCGTTCTCTGGAAACGGCTCAGACGGCCAATGCGCGCAACTAGATTAGCCTGGGGGCGGCCGGCTAGCCTATTCAAGCTGACTACGGGTGGAAGCCTGACCGACTTCTTGTCTTGTCATATTACCAGTAAACGGTCATCTGGTGATGGTTTGGAGGTGAGCAACTTCTTCGCCGAATCTGCCTGCATATGGTGGTGGTGCTACGACGCCTCTCACATCTTGGTACCATCACCGTGCGGCGTTAGCGATGGTCTGATCAAGCGTTTCTTTGCAGACTGACAGGAGTAGCACCCAAGACATGTGAAACGTTCCATGTGCGTGTTCAGCTCATGGGATGATAATTTTGGAGCTGTATACCTACACCTATGGGTCGTTCTGCATCCCGGTTCAGTCTACAGGAAGGGCAATGGACACGGGCGCAACACCAGCGAGGTTCGAGAACAGATTGATGCCGTACTAGGATCCACGCGAGGATGGAATCTGGCTAGAATGATTTCAGTGGGTGTTTGTGTATCTCTGCGCGCCCGAGGTGTGTGCCGACTCTCCATTGATAGGCAACTTTCCCCCGCGAGCGTGGGACATGCATCAGGTATCTCGGTTCCGAGCCGCCGGGCATGTCTCATTGCGTCCATGGTGCTGGAAACGACGCTGACTAACGCGCGCACAGTGCCTGCATAGGTGCTGTAACGATCAGCAAGGCTCACAATGAGTCGACAGGAGTAGCGGTAATGGCTGCGCGCTCGTCGAGCCGATGTCTCGATAGGGGAAAACGGCAGACGTAGCTCCCGGATGAAACAGTATCACCAACAATTGTCAGGTTTCCATGTCAGCCCTAGCACACAGCCCTACGAGCGATGCTGCGAGCGTCCTGCGATTTTGCAGGGATGCGATCTCACCGTAATTTCGACGCGCACAGCCAATCGCGTCGCGAAGCCACACCTGGTGTATGGACAACGATAAATTCCCTTGCGTCGGACACAAGGGCGACCGTCCAATCGCGAGTACGCTACTTGAGAGAACCAACCTCTTTCAATAAATCTATCGTGACGTCCGGGGATGCACAACTACGTAGGCTGACACTTTTTCCAGTAAACCATAAGGAGATACAAACTGCTGGCCAACTCGGGCCTTGACGCGACACTTGACGCTGTGACAATGCGAGGTCAGCTCGGGGTATGCAACACAGCTGGCGGATTGAGCGGTAAACACATCCCCTGAGTGTTGAGAACGTGTCGACCCCCGAAGGTTTAGCGAAGAACCCGATACCGATTTGGAATGTGAAGTAGCGTCAGGCTGAGTGCAAGGCTGAAGTGTTGAGATGTGGTGTGAGGCTTGGAACGTGTGCCGAACTCGGGATCCCAGCGCTAGCCGAAAGCACGGACGAAGGCTTTAGCTCGATGCCGTCATCATTCCTTTGCTTGATGCGCGTTCAGCCATCCCAACCTCTTTACTCTGACAACATCACAAGTAGACGACATGGAACAGTATCGCCCAGTATCATGTCGGGTGGCCCAGACCCAAGCCTGCATTCCGCAGTACTCGACTCCGACTTCCGCTGCAATTTGTCCGCCACCCTTCAGATACCAGCGAGAGGTCGTTCAAACCCCTCTTCAGCCATTCACGAGCATCTACGGCAGTATCGACGATATTGCTTAGGAGGCCTCAATTGACTAGAAACGTCGAGAAATCGGGGTTCGATGTATCATGCGATGTCCACCAAGTCGTCCAGACCCGAAAAACAACGCCTTATCGCTGCTTGAATACAGATCACAGATACCCACCTCGCTTCTCGGTTGCCCAACTATCAATATTTCGCCGTATGTAGTCATAATCATTGAACACGCTGATGCTATCCAGATTCACATCGCCTACCATCAGCTTGCTCCTCTTACGGCTGTGATGGTGTGGTCTCGAGCTCATCCTATCACATGATTGGCTTCCCGCTGAATCTGAGCTTCCAATCGAAGATCCAGATGCTATGGAAGCAGTCTCTGACCCGAACCCGCCGTCAGAGTCTAGCTCCAGTACTGGCCATGGCTCGTATCTTCGGTAGTTTTCCAACCACCGAGTGATCTTTCCGCGGTCGACATTGGCTATCAACTTTTCAACGTCTTGCGCGATCAAGTACTCCTGAACCTTCTCATCGCATTTCAGATCGTAATCATTTTCCGCATACGGGTCGATTCCAGCTCCCCAGGCCTCCACCCTTGCGTTTGCCAATGCTTCTTCCGCTTCCTGAATCGTCTTTATACGTTCGCGTGTGCGCTGAAGAAACTGCGGGCCATATTCGTCCTTCAGTTCCTCCAAGTCGCGGCCAGGGTTGTCGTGGCAGTAGTAGGCCAGTAAAGGCCCGTGATTCCCTCGGGCCTCGTCGTACTGCTGTCTCGCATACTGGAGCCTCGCTTCGAAACCGGCAAGATATTCCATCCATTCATTCCTGAATACGGCCGCTTCATTTTGCGTTGATCCTCCGGTGTAGTTCAATTCACGAGAAGAGCTTTCGGTATTGGTATCTTCACCGTTATACACGTCATCGTCCCCGTAATATCGTGAGCGAATTCTGTGGTGGTACCTATAGTCATTTGCTCCCCAGTGCCTCTCTCCGTCATCTTGTACAACTCCAGCTTCTTCCAAGATGATTTGGTTGTAATGATCAAGATCCCACAAGCTAGTCCACCAGAAGTATTCTGCGTCTTTGAGTCTGCTTTTCAGCCGCCGTTCCCGGGTCTTGATAGCTCGATAGCGGAGTTGTGCGCGTCGGACATTTTTTCTCGCGTCTATCAGATGTGCTCGCTCCTGGAAATGTGGAAGATATGCAAAACCCAATTCTTTGTTTAGCTCCCTGAGATCTGTTATCGCACGTTGGTAGTCTTTCCAAGCGGGTTGCGCGTCTTTGCTCGTGATATCCAGCTCCGCATCAATCCGCTTCTTCGTTTTACGATACCCACGACCTTCAACAACCGCGTTCCGTATCGCTTCAAGCAGTCGACGGGCGAGTACGAGGCACAGAACGTTCTTCTTTCCGTCAAAAGTCCGAGCCAAAACGGAGACTCCAGACGTGAAAATGTGAGTATTTGGCGCGGTTTGACAGACGTGCCATTCATCGTATCCTGGACCGAGATCTGCGCAATCCTTGCAGGACGATAAGCCGCAATAAGCGGCGTGGTCATTGCCTGGATAGCAACGCTGGCAGCCCTCCAATTCGCACTGGCAAAAAAGATTACCATCTCCATCTCTAAGAACAGACCATAACCCACTCGCTCCCTCACTGCTGTCATCTGACGGCTCCGATCGGATACCTTTATCGAACAAGACAAGCGCGTTTTGTTGCGGCAAGTCTTCGTTCTCGCCTGCTAGCAGAGGATGTGGGTCATCATCTACTATATGAGGTTTGCCTGACTTTTGCAAAGGCTCCGCGCGGTGTGAAGGTGGATCCGTTTCGTCCCGAAAATCGTGCTTGTCGTCTCGGTCAAGTCGAGCTTGCTTCTCGTCGCCTTGCATTCGCTTGGTAAGATGGCTGCTCCTCTTTTGTGCAGGTCCCCGTCTCTTCAAAAAGTAGGTGATGCTCTTCCGTATGATGGGACGAGACATTCTGGGCGTGTGGTCTACCATGGGTGCAGACTACTAAACAACTTTCGACCGTTTGTTAATGAAACCCAAGGCAAGAGGTGAGCAGGCTGTGGAAGTGACTGGATCAAAGCCACAAGGGCGTTTGATAGACAAAGCCTTTCATGTTTGACGCCTCAAAGACACGATAATCCAGGTTCTCGACATTGTGTCATGATCGATTAGTCAGTCGGGACATGTCTCTCCATCATAATCTAAACAAATTTATGCATATTCCAGTAGGTGACGAGAACGGGATTGTATTGAAGCGTTGGACGAGCGCAACATAGCAGAGCAAGGGGAGGGTTGAGCTTTCACTCCCTACCTATGCCAAGATAAGGACCACGTCCGAGCACGCACGTTCAATTCTACACGGATCGCCAGCCTAATGAAAGTAAGAAACCATGGCCTGTTCACTCGCCATACGACCTGTGACGGATCTTCGCCGGGCATTTACACCCTTGCATGGTTCTCAACCAAGACCCAGCAACCGCCACGCCAGCCCGCCCCCTCCAAGCTGATCACCTAATCTGGAACCTCGGGTTGGGGAGAATTCCATAAACCAAACATGGCGAGGAGAGATGATCAACGAAGTATGATAGGTTCTACACTGCTTAATAGCTGCATTTCTGACGACAAACAGGGCCAGGTCAACGTGACAACCGAAGATATCGTACCAATGATGACCGTCGGCGGCGGCAGGACTTGGGTCAGGGTCGCGGTCATATTAGAGGAGATCCTGACCTCTGGACCCCCACGTATGATCGACGGCACAATCGACAGCGATCCCCTTCCCCGAACCGTAGGCAACGTGACCATACTCGGTCTGTATCTCCGGTACCACGCGGTCGGAGTTTTAGGCGCGAACAAGATCAGCGGCGCCCGAGTCCGGAGTATCGAGGTCGTCGAGACCCTACCCCGATCGCAAATCAGAGGAGACAGACTGATCAGCGGAACTCTCCGGATGCCGCGCAGTTTGATCTCTCCGTCGAGCTCGATACTGCATACACACGTGGTACCCATCGATACGAGCGGGATTCACGCGAGCGCGCATCAACTTACCCGCTGAATGGTGCTTCTTCACGGGTCCAAGATGCGGCATCTGAGACACCCCCAGCAGGTGTTAATGAGTTCAACAATCGCGTGGTGAACACGGATGAGAACCACACACTCCAACTAGCTCACGACCGTGCTAGATATCATCCACCGCCGTCTTTGCGCAACAATGACCCACCGAATTTCGACGACATCGAGGAAGTAATCGCTGCCAGCAAATTCGTTCTTTTCAAAAAGCCTGACTGTAATAAACCAGTAGTAGGTTTCAACGTCGTTTACGAGGGCGAAGACGAAAAGACAGATCTCATTGACTCCAACTCTGTACAAGTCGGTGACATCTGGGAAATTCATGAGATGGGCCCAACCGGCAACCGAGACGCGTTCTTAGGCGACGGCAAGACCACGCCTTCATCGGGAGGTCTCCACAGCTCAAAGACCACCAGGGTCGTGGTTACTGGCGGGACTGGCGAGAGGCGGACTGGATTCAGAATCACCAGCTGTAACAACACGCTCCAAGAAAAGATTAAGAAATCGGGCGAGGTGTCGAGATATTTCTTGATCCATGTGGAAGGTCGACCACCGCCTTCAAACACAGCCGGACTTCCGACTCTTCGCGTTTCTTCCAGCGCATACTGGATGGCATTTTCTGCAATGGATACCGAGAATATCGTCACCTTCCGGCCGGATAATGTCATGCGCTCCATAGGAAGGGCTCACATCGCTGATGTGCAGAGGGCTGTGCAGCAGAGGAGTCAGCAAGACATTATAGGAGTGTCAACTTTGGCTCAAACATTCCAAGCGACGAATCCGTACGGGCGGTTTCCTCCCTCTAGCTCATTGTCAAATTCGGCAGTCGCCAATCCTACACCACCGGGTGTGCAGCCAGCACAGCCCCAGACGGCTCACCCGAACTTCAATCCGCCCACTGGCCCGCGCGCAGAGTTTAGACGGTCTGATCGGTTACGGACTCAACCCCCGCCAGATTATCGTGATACAGGACGTCGGCAGGGTGCGACGGGGCCAGCATCACAGCCCGCTCCACAGACCATCACGCATCCACCTCCAGCTCGTCCGACTCTTCCATCCGGGGACCAAGCAGTCCAGGATCTTCGAGGCGCTACGAATGGCCGTAGCCCTGCGCAGCGGTCCACGGAAACCGGTCAGCCTCGTACAAACGGCACAGACACCAAGCGCAAGAGAGACGATTCGGAAGACGGGCCTCGCAAGAATCGCCGGCGCGGCTCCATTTAATGTTTCGTCCACACGGTCATCTGCATCTTTTCCACGCCTCCTGCCTATACCCTGGGGTAGTATCGATTGAGGTACCTTCGCACCGGGTTAGCGTTTTAACGCGCGCTTTGGCGTTCTCCGGTCATGTCTCCATTCTTTCCTTGGTTCATGTTGTTTCAGATTCGATTGCCTCATTCTACCCCCTTCCTGTCACCATTCATCGATAGATAATGGTTCTTTTAAGAGCATTTGTTCACTATGTTCCCATCGATGAAATAATGTCGCATCTTGTCGAAGATGTCTTAGTTGATAATTCTCTCAATCCAATTTTGAGTTCTCACTTTGCGCCCCTCATTGCTCATCAAAGCATAGAGACAAAGAATTAAACAAAGCTGTGTCCAATTCTGTTCAGCTTCCAGATCGTACCCTTGCACAAGATTCCGTCGACCTCTCCGCCGCGTGTATCCAGCCCTCCATCATCTTCCCATCATCGTCGCCCTGGAGTCTCCACAACGCCCCCTCTCCGATAGCAACAATGAACTCATTCATCTCACACAACCATTGCGGGCTCTCCTTCAGCCAAGTGATTATCCAGCTCGCCAAAAGTGCGAGTACATTGTATCCCAGTGACGCAAGTCCTGATATGACCCACTCATACCGCTGCAACACGAAAGCGCGTAGCTCGTAAAACGCGGCCGTGGTGAAGGAGGCGACCTCCGGGAAGTGCGCACAGACAAGGGTGCATATGATGTCGAGAGTGATGCGCGAGAAAATGTGTGCGTTGACGAGCAGGTTGACGAAGAGCTTGAATGTAGGCTCGTGGAGTAGGATGGCGATGAGGAGTGCGAAGAGGATGATCTTACGGAACGTAAAGGCCATACTCGCGAGTCCAGCGTTGACGCAGCTATCGGTAAAACGACGGCTTGTCGAGACTGCGGGTGTTGATGATGCCGCTTGGAGGAGACGCTAGTCCTGATCTGGTTACGCGCCTTGGCAGGTAGGCTGAAGGGAAGGTAGAAGAGTCAACACTTGGAGGTTCCACGAGCTGCAGATCGCTAAGAGAACGACTACAAATGCTCAGCACGGACCTGGAATCCAGCTGTACCCGTCAGAGTTTCCGTCGATCTAGCGTGAATGTGACGGTCATGTGACAGGTTGTACTTTCACCGCATCGCACACAAATCGTCAGTTCGAAGATGGATAAGATCGCATACGCTTTGAACGCGAAGCAACGACAAGGTAAAGTTCTGAGTGCTCAGATATCCTTTTGTTACAGTTCTTCCACCCACACTTCACCCGTAGAGGCAGCTACCGCTTGGTTTCCCCGTCCGTCGTCTGCGCAGTGCAAGACAACTAAGAGCCACTACCACGCGTCAATAACGGCTCGTTTTAGAGCTCATGATCAATTGCAACTGGTACGTACGGAGTATTCGGGTTCGGCGCGCCTTTGACAAGCTTGAAGCCACCCGGTTGCAGGTATTGGAAGACCTGTTTCGGATCGTACTTCTTGGATATCTTCATCAGCCGTTGCTTGTTCTTCGCTCCGTAGCTGCCGATGGGGTCTTGGTATTCGGATGCGTAGTTCAGATACACAAAGTCGTTGTCCAGGTTCCTCCGCTTCGCTTCCGCTTTCACAAGCTTGATGATATTGGCAATCACACTGTGAAACTTGGGCTCGTCTTCCTTGTTGTTCCAGGCAGCGTTAAAGTTGAGCACGAAGTATGGGCCATTTGCTGGATCGATGCCTAGAGCATTTCCACCGTTCTTTTGCATGGCCTTGGTCGCGCTTTCGGTGATGGGCTGGATAGCCATGATGAGCAGGATCTTCTCAACGTCGGCGACGGTGGATTCTTGCTTATAGAACGTATCGACTATGAACTCGAGCAGTGATCTGTCCATCTTCAGACTAATGCCCCACCAGGTCTGGAAAGCACCAGGAGCAGGAGCACCCTGATTGAGGAGATCGGCCATGCCGGACATCGGGCGAAGGCCAGTCGTGTCATCGATGGCAGTGATATTACCCCAACTCGAGAAGACAGGCGCGTTCGCAATAGGCTTGGCGTAGTGGAGGTTGGCGAAAGCGACCTTGCCGATCCCGGGCGCGCTGGCGAATGTCTGGACACATCAGCTTTCCGCACATGAGGAGTGAATTCAGCGTACCTACCACTATCTGGGCGGCATCTTCATCCTTGACAGACTCAGAGACTGTGAACTGGTGAATCGCATCAAGCACCGCAGGGTATGCATCTTCGAGATACACCCGTTGGCCTCCCCACATCTGGCCAAGAGGAAAGGCATCAAGCTTGAAGTTTGTAACAATTCCGAAGTTGTTGCCGCCTCCTCTCAATGCCCAGTATAGGTCGGGATAAGCGGTTGCACTGACGTTGATCGCGATACCAGAAGCCGTGACTAATTCGAAACTCGCCACGTTGTCACAAGCCCAACCGCGCTTGCTCGCGAAGTGAGAAATGCCGCCTCCGAGAATGAGGCCAGGCACGCCAACGGGAGCCATCTAGTTCTGCGATCAGTAACGAAACCATGAAGTTGGCGCAGATGCGTAGACTTACACGTCCTCCTGCGACACTCAGACCGTCTTTCTCGACAGCATTGTAGACGTCTATCCATCGGAGTCCAGGACCAATGTCGACCGTCTGCTTGTCGGAGGCAACGACAGCCTGCTTGAAGGTTTCAAGCGACACAGTGATTCCATCTTCGATGCTAGATGCACCAGCCCACGCAGCATGGCCACCGCCTTTTACGGCGAAGGGGCATTGGTACAATCTAGCCGCAAGCACCAATGTTGAGACCTCGATTGTCTTCGTGGGTTTAAACACACAAGAAGGTCGTACTAAACCTTGTTGAGCAGACCAGTATCCTCCGGTGAAGTTACTGTATGTGGTTGCTCCTTCAGCCAAGACCTTGTCGGTGCCGAAGAGTATCGTCAACGCGGTACACTAGGGTCTGTCAGCTTGCGCAATCCTAACTTCGTGATATTGTGACAAAACTTACAGCATGTGAGCATTGCGCATTTGAGACACGGGCATTGAGTGCATTCGCAGGTTCTGGCAGAGCCGAGACATCGATGCCGAGGTTTTCGAGAGCCGCAGTGATGTTGAAGTCTTGCGGCTCAAAAGCAGCGCCGCTGGCTTGTGCTCCCACACCGGCTGCAAGAGCTGCAATGGAAACAAGACATGTGACCTTCATCGCTGCTGATAGCTGCAATCAATTCTGCGAGCAGTTCACTTGGCAGCGCGTTCGTGAGCAATAACCTGCGCGTTTGGGTCCCAAGGGCGCGTCGAAGTCTGGGGGGCCCGGGGCTCTCTCACTTGGGGGCTCTTTTAACAGCATACCAGTGCGCCGCATCCTTCTGCACCTCGCTTGGCTGTAAGCATCTAATTTGAGGTACGTCTGCAATGATTGGCGCAATGCTAAGCCTCCTGCAAGAAGACGGTTGGATCCTGCGGGATTGTGGCGATGTCGTGAGCGAAGCCTTGCCGTGTCCTGCACGGAATGGGCACCTGGCATGGGCTATCACCTATACCTAATCCAGCCTAGTGTGGTCCAGGGGAAGTCGCGTCTCGCAATCCGTCGCCGCTATGGAGTTTACATCGACCAGCAGCCTATAGCACTTTCAAGGCCACAACAACATTCATTCCGAAAAGGAGATGAATCAAAGTCGAACAGCGATGCGCTCTGGTAGCAGAAGGATGCTCGGAACGGGGATGACTGTGCCGGCCGAGCGGCAGAGGCGGGACGACCCTGGAAATGAGAACCTTACTCTCGGTAACATCGCCCCTACCAGAATGTGAACGATACTGCAGGTACTTCCAGGCCCCGCTGGACGACATCCTCAAGTGGCTCGATACGAGACTTTCAAAGCGGTGCGCTATCGAATGTTACCGACGAGGCGACCATGAGCTCTACAGCTTTTGTTAGACTGGTCGCACGATGGCAGTGCGCGTTAGGTTGCGCAACTGGGTTGTGCAATACCGGTCTTCGTGAGATATGCAGTAATACAGACCCACGTCGTAAAGTACCTTGTACGGCAGATCAGTCCTATCAAGGTAGACAGGCGCTTACGGGAATACTCATCTTGTGGCTCCGCTTCGCAAGCGGTCAGATATCAAATACTTGATCTGATGTATCCATATGTTCCTGCTGGTGCTATTGATGTAGACTTCTCGCTACTTCATCGATCGCTTCACACCTGGGCACCCAAATACCTGACGACATACATTACTGGAACGCTTCACCGCGTCGGATGTTCGACAACACACTTCCGATATACCCAGACCCGATACCATGACGTCCCAACAGCTTGCAGATGTCACATGGGACAAGAATGCACCCCCAGCGACCATGAGCAGACGCGAACTGGAAGGCATCAACACCGCTATGCTGACTCTAACGTCTTTGGTCTTCGTCGCGCGTATTGCCATTCGATTATCCAAGCGAAGAGCATTCGAGCTGCAAGACTTCTTTTGCTGTCTATCTTATCTGTTCTATGTCGCAATGCTCGTCATGTTCTTCAAGGAGAACGACCCGCTTTATCGAGCCGAGCGTGTTCAGAGAGGCGAGGCGCCGTTGTATCCAGGGCTCCGTGCGTACAACCATCTTTCCATACTCAGACAAAGCGGCATGCTGACAGTCTCCAGTTCACGATGCAGGAATGGTCTATCGATGGCTGACGGCTGGTCAATTGTTGTACTATTCGTCTCTGACAGCAGTAAAGCTATCCCTATTAGCCCTATACCGACTTCTGTTGAACAAAGCCTCGCCAAAGTATAACATCATGTGGTGGACGATCTTGGCCTTTTGTGTTTTGGTAAGTACGAAGCATGACCATCGTTTAGCGCTCATTACTAACACTCAAACAGTCGTATGTGGGAAGTGCTATGACAACCATCTTCGTCTGCGACGACCAAAAAGCGAAGTACAACTACGGTATGTGCGCAGAACCGAATGAGCAGAAAAGAGCACAGTTTAGCCTATGGTTTGCGTACGCAGTAGATGTAGCTGGTGATCTCGCAGGTTCGTATGCCAGTCCCATCGATTACAGGACCTCACTGACAAGTGCAGTAATGTTCCTTCCGTTTCGCATGACCTGGAACCTTCGGCTACCCAGGGCTCAAAAGCTCGGCATCTTCGTCCTCTTCGGAAGTGGTTGGATATGTATTGTATGTACCACCCGCTACTACCCGCATTCTTCAATGACCATACTAACATGATGTCTTACTTTCAGGTCTTTGCGACCCTCCGTGTCGTTCAAGTCAGCGTCAAAGATGGTCTGCCAAAGATACCGGACCCAAAGTGGTTGCAAATGTGGACCGTCATCGAGACTTCGATGGCAGTCATTATTGGCTGCGCTCCAGCCTTCAATGCTCTTCGTCGTCGCTCTGAACACCACAACGTTGAGATAACGTCAGTTCGTCTTGATATGGAGACTGCAGGTGGCGGACAGACATTGCGGGCGGAACCTTACATGCGAGTGCTGCGAACGAACGAGCAAGGGAGTGAAGAAGCACTGCATCCACGCAGCACGCCTGGACTGGCGTTTTAGGTTGGAAACTTTTCCCCGATCATCACTGTCAGCATGTCACATAAGGGGCTACTATCAAGAACGTGTGTTTTACAAGTGGTCTTCGTCGTGTCCATCGGGCTATGAGCCAAAAATTACGCATACAACTCCAGCCTTGAATGCAGAAAGTTCGCGTTTCGCGTGTTTGTTTTCTGGAAGTGAAAGCGAAACTATTTCTAATGCTGCGATGACGTCAGTCGAAGGCGCGCAGTCACCATAGACACCCTTCGCGATTTGTGATCTCTCAGTCAGAGACAATTGTTCCAGACTGCTTGAGTCTCTTGGTCTTGTCTTATCCTACGTTCACATTTTCCGAAACAGGACTACAATAGCCAGTGTTGGTGGTTGCGCGGCGTCATCAACAAGTGTAAACAACAACGCGTACACTGCGCGCCCTCACACTCTTTCACCCACGCGTTTTTCTTGAAAACTCTTTCAGTCACCACTCACCATCGCGCAATCTTGCAAGCTTGGCTCTACGTTGCATCTTGTCTCTCATTCTGACTTCCCTGGCTCTTCTTCACAACCATCCAAACCACACAACACAACACCGGTTCGACCATTTGAGAGTAACCTACGCGAGATAAACGACTGAGAATTCTCCATCGCGTCACTATCTCGCTAAGTTACGTTCTGGTGCCAAAGTAGACGGCAAAGTGTCCAATTCTTCCACTAAACGTACCGCTTCCGTCCGTCAGCTCCCACAACGAACAAGATGCCTACCTTGCGCAAAGGGATCAGCGGCGCTTCCGGAATCCACGTCTCGATTCATGACCCAAGCCAGAAAATGAAGCTCGAGCCCCAGTCACACCCTTCCGTCATCTCCATCACCACACAGAAGCGTAAACGCTGCGCGGAGGAGCAGACCAACCCAGCCCTCACAGTACCAGCCAAGAAGCTCAAAACATCAACAACATGCGCCCCGGCCATCACCACAAAGGCTGCTATTACCACCAGCAGCAAGACACCCGGCTCAAAGTCCACGCTCGTCCCCCGCGGCCCGCGCAAAAAAGCCACCCTCGGCGTCAAAGACGAATCCCTCCTCCTTATGATCTGCGACAGCAACACCACCCCGCGCAAAATAACCGAACTCCACTTCCGCAAGATCCCGCACTCTCTCATCGACTGGCACAACCCCCACCACATCTCCCAGATAAACGCGTGGCGCAACCAAATCTACGGGCGCGCGGGCCTAAAAGCCCGCTCCGTCAGTCTCTGGTACGAAGCTGAGGAGCTGTGGTTCGAGCTCTACTTCCAGCTCTCCATTGTGGAAGCAAGGAAGCGCGGGATCATGCTGCCGGGGAGCAGGCAGGTGAGGGACGTGTTTAATAAGACGTTTGTGGGGAGGGTGATTAAAGGGAGGGGTGGAGAGGATTTGCCGCCGAGGGTAGAGAGGGAGGGGAATGCGTTTGCGTCGAAGTTTAATCGTATGTTTCCGGCATTGAGGGCGAGGTTGAATGGGTGTGTGGTTGGGAGGTCGGGGGATGTGTTTGTGCCGGTTATTACGTTTGGGATGGTGGAGAGATATAGGGTGCTGAAGGTGAATTTGGCAAGGATGGGGATCGAGGCTGAGTCTGAGTATGCGGATGGGTTGGAGGAGTGGCAGTGGTTTCTGTCGCATCTGCCAGATGTCGGGATGGAGGCTGTTGTCGAGGAGGAGGAGGTCAGGGAGATGGAGGCGAAAGAGCTCGATGCTGTTGCTGCTTTGGTCAGCCTTGCCAACTCGCCGGTTGACTCTAGGTGTGACTAGAGTGCGTGTTGCGTGCACTGTTTAAGTTGAACATCTTGACCGTTGCTAAGGTTATGTGTACTTCTGGCTCAACATCCTTTCGTAGAATGGAAGACAACCTCACAGTATGAATAAACAGACAAGGGACAAAGCGAGCTGAAGGGACGAGGCCATTGCTAGTGCCTAAATTTCGCCAGATTCTCGCCAACCCACACATGTTCACGTTGCCTATCCATTGCACCGCAGTGACTCCAGATGTAGCACCTCTAGTCATCAACAAGTTCCACGATGTCGCCGAACTCTTGGAACAGCCACGGCTCTAGGTCCTTGAAAGCTTCCGGTATCGGCTTCTCCTCGACCCGTGAGACAACGGCCGGCTCATCGCCGAACATGTTCAAGATGTCTGCTACCTCTTCGTCGACACACGCGTCTTGTTGGTCGCCGGCTGTATGCAGCTCGCGTGGCGTAGCCGTCCGTTGTTGTATATCTGGCGACGTGAATACCTTTGCGGGTATGGCGTTTGCAATCTCGAGTTCGGCACTTTCTTCGCTGTCAAAGAAAGGCGACCGAGAGGACTTGATTTGTGCTTTGCGAGGATAATCGGGGTGACTGAACTCCGGCTTTTGCGGAACGTGATCTTCGGAATTGATCAAACTAGAGTTCATCTGCTTGTTACTTTCTCCGTAACCCATATAGTCATCGTCGATGACGTTTTCGAAGGGCTGCATGATATTAGCGTCGCTTTCACGAATCTCTTGGAGATTTTGAGAATCTGCAAGCCCAATGAAAGCCTCTCGAAGGACGGAGTCATCGTCTTCAAAGGCGTCAGATTCGTGAGAGGCTACAGGAGCTGCAAGCTCGTAGTCCATGTAATCTTCCGGCTGTTGTGTGTCACCAAGTGGATTTTGTTGCGCAGACTGATGCTGAGGATGATCAAAGTCGGCTGATGGCTCGTCAAACTGAAATTCACCGTAATCGCTAGAAGCCGAATGTGGCTCAGCGGTGGGAGGGCCCATAAAGTCAAGGCTATGCTCGCCACCTTGGGAGTAGCAATAGGCTGGCTTCTTGTATATGACGGAATGGAGAGACGAAGGTAGCTCTTTACCCTGGGTAGTCTTGTGCAGCTGATGCAGGCCACGGTAGTCCCTAGGTCCGTTGGTGCCATAGTCGGCTTTCTGCTTCTTTTCTTGCTGCGTGAGATCGAGCTCGTCAATCGGCGCAGAGACCTTCCTCTTAGATGCTGTGAGCTGAAGCTTGGTTTGCTTCTCTTTGCCTTTTGGCGGCGGTGGTCTCTGTGTCAGCTCAGGCCGATCTTCGCACGCTGGAACGCGTTTGGCGACAGCTTTCTTCTTTGATGGTTTATCCATACCAGTCTTGCAACACTGGTGCTTGCATGCACTTCGATCTTTGCATGGATGATTGCAGGCCCACTTTCCATTAGCTAGCTGTACTGGCTCTGGATCGTCTTGTTCAGCAGTAGTATCAATCGGTCGTTTGCTCTTTCCGTCATCCTTCTTCTTGGTCACTTTGTTCTTCGCAGTATTCTTCCGTGTGATGGAATCGATAGGGTCGGCGTAGTTCTCGATGTGATCAAAGTCAAGATCACGGAAGGAAGCGTTGACAAGAGTATCATCATCCACATCACCATCTCCATAGTCATCGCTGGTGGTGGACACCTTTCGGATTGGTCTTGCAGTATCCGTGCGTCGCTTTGACATATTGGACTGATGTGATGTTGGCCGCTCTGTTTCCAAACGCTTTGGGGTTGGAAACATAAAGGCAGCGACCTGGGGCTTCACGGCGGCGGCACGCATACTGCCAGCTTGTAACAGTCAGCCTTAGCTCTCATAATCGAGCCACAATACATGCCTATGCCATCACACATGACGTAGCAGTTGATTGACTGGTCGGAGTTTGTCAAGAGCGCTGGGAATGTGAGGCTTTGGCCAGACCCAAGTTTTGGGCCACTGCGACAAAGATTAGTACAGCGCAGTACCGAGATCGTAATTACCCACCTGATGCGAGCAAAATGCACCTTGCGGCCATTGGAAGTGTCCACTAAAAGGCACACGTATATGAGTTTGTTGTTGAAGCGCTGGGGCGGCTGCTCGTTGATGAAGCCAATGTCTGCCTTAATCTGGATTTTGACTCCGTCATGGGTTTTGATTGCCTGAAAAGCCATTAGAACATGCACTTCAAGGAAAGATCGCAGACTCACGGTTGAAGGTTGAGCATTTAGTGAGACGCGAAGCTTCGGAAACGATCGGACTTTCTCGAGCACGTCGAGGCCAAAAGGGGGATTTCGACCCACGAGTGCTTCGATCCGGTAAGGCTCGCAACCTTCAAGATCCTCCATGGACTTCAGCCCGGCGTTGACGAGCTTCCTGACAGCGACGTTGCCGATGCTTCCAATTTGCTTCATTTGGAGAGGGCTATCGTCCCAGATTCTGGCGCCTAAGCTTCTCTCGAGCATAAGAGCACTGTGGATACTGATGGAGTCACCTAAGGCGATCTGGCAGTCGATGATGCATCGAATTAGACTGCCAATATTCTTGAAGATAATCTGTGTCTCTGTCGTATATTGAGAACGATGCTTGCCGGCCTCGCCTTCCCAGGAGATATCGGCAGACCCAAGAACGGATTGTACGATGAGAGATACCTTCTGCGATGGTAGATCAAGGTTGACAGGGATAGCCCAGCGGATCGAAGCGGACTTGTTGAGCAGCTTGTAGAACGCCTTTTCACCTTGACGAAAGCGTATTGTAGAGTACTCAACAGCTTGAGCGATGGCGGAGAGCTGTGTATGAATGTCAGCAAGGTCCTCCAAGTAGCGCCAAGGTTGTGTAACTTACAATCTCCGATGGAGTGGACCGCAGCCCGAGTTCCATGAAGACTTTCATAGTCTCGAAATGTACGTAGTACCGTGCCATGGCATGGCCAAACTCGGTACATCGGAAGTACTCTTGCCCTGACACAAGATTGGTCTCGCGCAACAGTGTGATGTCGCGGAAGCATATGTCGTCAACTTGCTCCTCGATGCTTTGACCACTTCGAGCGCCGTCCAATTTGTAGTAACTGGGATTCTGCTGAAGTCGGACGTAAAGGAATGTACCTCTTAGCCACTTCCTAGCTGACTCTAGGTCGCTAATAGTTCCAAGTCCAATCTCGGCGTTCATGTGATCTACCAGATTGAGATGGAGTTTGCTCTCTATAAGATCCTGGCCTGTGACCAACATTTCGTACCGTCGGACTTTCGCCTGCCTGGTCATAATCACTGCTACAGCTGAGTCATCGTACTGAGGTCGTCCCGCGCGACCCAGCATCTGCATCATCTCCAGGTCCGAGTACTCCTGCATTCCCTCCGCACCCCAGGCCATGGTATTCTTGATGATGACGAGATGGCAGGGTAGGTTGACTCCGACCGCGAGCGTGGATGTGCAGCAGATGACACTGATCTCGCCAGCGATAAAACCTTTTTCGATCTTGGTTCGATCATCGAGATCAAGTCCGGCGTGATGAAAGGCTACACCGGAAGACACGGTATCTCGAAGCTCCTTGTTCAGCAGCAGGGGTGGCTTAGACGGCGGCTTCCACATGCGATCTCGGTCTGATGCTGAGACCCACCAGTTTGCTATCAGCTTTGCCGTGCTGACTGTGGAGTTTCGGGTTGCGCAAAAGACCATGAGAGGCTTGCGCTGGGAGTGAGAAGCAATGGCCTCAGGGATCTTAGCATCGAGCACTTTTTCAAAGCCGAACTCGTTGCTAGAGTTGTACGCAAAGCCACGAACGTGCTTGCGCAGTTTGACTGGTCGGAACTCTTCACCAAACTTCTCATTGGCGGCTGGGATGTCTGGTTCCGACGAGTTCTTTCCTAACCATGCCGCAATGTCATGGAAGTTGGGCACTGTAGCTGATAATGCCACAAAGCGCACATCTGTGCCAATAGACTTCATCCGCGAAACGACCGTCTCAAGCGTAGCACCACGATCTTCCTTGAGTATATGCACCTCATCGATAAGAAAGACGCGGATGAGTCTCATCAGTTTCTCGTGGTCTTTCCACTTCCTGGTCATGCTGTCCCACTTCTCGGGTGTCGTTATGATGATGTTGGCGCTCTGTACGTTGCGTAGATCCCCAAGGTCGCTGTCGCCGGTCAGCTCGGCGCATTTGAGGCCTAACCTGTTGAACTTGGCTTCCCAGTCACGTTGGCGTTCTGCACACAAAGCCTTGGTCGGCGCTTGATAGACCACTTTGTACTGGCCGGTCGCGTTGGTGGTAACAGCTCGACAGATAGCGAGCTCGAGAATGACGGTCTTCCCACTGCCAGTAGGGGATGCAAGGACGAAGTTGTCGTCGGTCCTGAAAACTTGGTCGAAACACTTGGACTGTACGGCGTTGAAGGTCGGATAAGGAAATACCGTTCGAAGACGATCGGGCAGAGTAGTGACAGGGACCAGGCGGATACCTTGGCACATGGGCGCAGCGCTAGACACATCTTCTGGGTACGTCTGCGGCTCCGGGGGAGCTTGTCGATGATGCGGAGGATTGAGGTTGCCTCTGTGCTGTGCGGCGGATGTGCGTTGCTGGCTAGCATGTGGTCGAAAAATGGGCAGTGTAGCCTTTCCATGGGAGCGCTCATGTTGTTGTCGGTACTCTTCAGCAACAACATGGCTGTCGCCTTCGAACGGTGGGGCCTGTGAGCCGTGTTGAGGTCCGAAATCAGTGACTTGCTCGGCACGCCGCTGACTTGCCCTGAGTGCTGGACTAGAAGACGGGCCGAGCGGCATGTCGGAACTAGACTCTTGAAGCGGAGCGGCATTGTAGGCAAAGCGGCCTGGACGGTGATCAGCATGGCCACAACCACCAACGGCAGAGGTGCTTTCGACTCACTCATTTGACCTCGCATAGCCTGCTCAGGACGCAGATGGTACTCTGCTTCTTAGTCAGCAGATGCGTCTCTGCAGTCCAGGCTAAAGTACCTTCTTCATGGTACATGTCTTGATCACGAGCCTGGTAAGACGGCTGCGATTGGGTAGGCGCCGCATGACTGTAGTGCGTGGAAGGGCCTGGTGCAAGTGACAACCTCTTTGTGCCTTGTGCAGCTTGCCGCTGAAAGTCGGCATATGGTTGTCGAAGCACTCTGTCATCTGCAAGTGTGAGCGAAGAAGTTGTGGAAGCGAGGGGACCACATACCGAATGAATCGAGTTGCTGACCTCGGTCGTACATGCTATCGTCCTCAACCACGTCATACTGGGGGTCGTCATATTGAGTGGCGCGATAGCGATCCCGAGGTGCGACTGATCTTCCAGGCTGCTTGAACTGAGGCCGAAGCATGTCGTACTGCGACGTGCGGCGGGGAGCGCCGAACTGCTCGTAGCCATCATGCGGATAGTGGTCGTCGTCCATGACTGCTATACGCAGCTTGATCAGAGGCTCTTTGACGGTGGAGACGTGGCGGGATAAGTTCAGAATCTAGAGTGGGGCGTTAAGTGAGAGTTGAGATGAGAGGGAAGTGACGATGGAGGAAGTCGCGGCCTGACGTGCCACATCCGGATTTGGCGGAGTCACTCAACGGCAATCCTCGATCAAGGAAAGTAGTAAGCGCTTAGATCTCTGTGAGTTATGCATGCAGATCATCGGCGTCTCGATCAATGGTCCCTAAATTACTAAAGCTCAAGCATCTCGCTTATGGGAATGCCGTTCTATAGAGGGCGACTCCGGTGCTGCTTTTGGAGCAGCCTCATACACTGATGACCTCCGCGGCTTGTTGGTATCGATGGTGCGATCCACCGTAGTCTTCTCGAAGTCGGCAATCCTGACTGGCAGCGATTGCGAGCCCCGCTCAGGCTTGGTGTAAAGATAGGTCGCGAACAGTACGACGCATGTGCCTAGGAAGAACTGCCGATGGTCAGCATCATGAGCCTCACTATGGCACTAGAGACTTACTGATCGCGTGACCCTGAAGTCAAAGAAGTATACGCTTGCAATGCAACTAACCAAGATGGAGATCGATGTCGCAAAGTTCTTGGCGATATTATCGGCATAGTTGATGACGAGCGCAACCACAATGCCACCAGCTGCTTGAAGACCAATAGCCGTCCACACCACCCAGTTGTAGCCGACGAAGAATCCAGTCTTCGCTATGATCTCCCCATCCTTCCATATCACGCCCAGGAACAACGACGGAAAGAGCGACCAGAAACAGAGCTGGCAGTTGCGGACCCAGAGCGGCGTCTGCTTGGCGCTTGTTGAGTCCTTCAAGATCTTCTCAAAGGTAACTCCAGCTAGGCCTGAAAGCGCGCAGGAGATCAGGACAGCCATGAGCCCAACCCGGTAATTCATGTGGGGTATCTGGGCTGCACGATCCTCGTGTATGCCCTCGTATGACCCAGACCGTCTCCCTAGCCGCCCTGCGACATTCTCACCAAGGTCGTGTAGCTGCTCCAGCGTCTTGGTCCATGGCTTTGCACCAGATGCTTGTGGTGGTGACGGCGCAGTCGCTTGCGGTACTTGTATAATAGAGACGCCGATGATGAGAAGCAAAAGCGATAGCCATTTGCGCGCCGAGAGTGTTCTGCCCAGCATCAACACACTGAAGATAGCCGTCGTCAGGATCTTGAGCTGGTATGTGACCTGAAACGTCGCGGCGTCCAAGTTACTGACAGCGATGTATTGGAGAGAGTTCTGTATCGTGTATAGCACGGCGGGTATCGCAAGCTTCCAGCTTTCGTTCGTAAAGATCGCGGTCATCAGGGTACGGAAGAGTGTGGGGATCGTCGTGTTCGAAGGAAGGTTGCCCGACATTTCGTGTAATGCCTAGGACGATCGTGAGCCTGAAAGCCGTTCATCCCTCTCAACCCGAGTTCCGTACCATAGTCAAGCTTATAGCGAGCTTGATGACCTCGTTCAAGAAGACGCTTGTGCTTGCGTGGTATCGTTGCTCTCCAGTCAGAGGCATTATCCTGGAGTAATGCATAACCTGGGGTCGCGTCAGCCACTTTCACTCCCCGCTTGCTTCTCCACGGTATTCGCATGTTCTGTGTGCTCTTCGATCGCGTTGGGGTAATGCTTCGCGGTGGATGGCAATCGTACCAGGATGAGGGCAGAGTTTTGAAATATAAGCTGTGTAGGGATTAGCTTCTGCGTAAACAATGAGTGCGACGAAGATTGGCTTACTGTCACGAGAGAAACATGCTTCATGGGCACCCCGCCCAGAGTTCCTGAAGCCGACCTGACAACCATGGTGGGCTTCGCTCTCTTAGATGTGCTGGAATGATGGGGGTTCGCTAGATGCGCATGGTGAATATTATATCCGGTAGCGATAGGGTGTACGTAGAATTACAGTGAATGTAAGGTCAAACCGGTGCAGGGCAAACGAGACATGTAGACTGGGTCCATCTTGAGTGCTGTCAGCTGGAGATGGGGCGCGGCTTCCGCTGCTCGAGCATCCGGCGCGATGAGCAGGGATACTTAGCGCCGACGATCGCGCTTGGCATTCAGGCCAATTTCCGATGACGCGCATCTCGACGCGTCACGGACATTCTCACCCTCACGACCACCACGACACTCAATTACTTGCCATATATGTGAGACGTTCAGCACAGGTATCTTGAAAGCGCTGCCAAAAAGAATGGCGGTTTCAGCAGTGCACTACGCGTTTCCGGGTATTCTGAGTATTGACCGTGGTGTAGGATTTGCTCACGCATCGCCGTTAGCTTTGCCATTCCGAGTACGCTGGGTACTTAGTGATCTGATATAAAAGGCTGCAACTTGCCATGAAGGGCTATGATTGCTGTATCGCGGTATAGCACTTTGGACTGAGGCTGCCTCTGGGATGGTCGAATTTTGTCGAACCGAGGCCTGGCAAGGCTTCTGTCTATGTGCCCGGGCGCCTTGTTCACAATCAACATCTCGTCCTCGTGCATATGGTCTCATGAATGACTACAGATATCGCGTTTTCGTCTCGAGCGGGCGTAGATATACGACTGCGACCGTCATTGGACCCATGGATTTCCGGTGAGAGCTACAGCGCCACCTCATGGCGTTTTCACAAGCATAGCGCCAATCACACACAACACCAACGTTCCACGCATGAGCTCTCCCTATCATTCGCTCACAGCACAGAGTGCTGACATGGAACACAGCGGTCGCCGGTGCTTATCGATGCAGCCACTGGCATACTTCTGCTGGACTTAAGTTGGAGCGCGAAGCATGTTCCGTGATTTCATCCGATCTCACTCATCATCAACCGCTCCAAGATAACGTCAAACCCACAGTGCCCACAGCATCTGATCCGTTTCGTCTCTCACAACTACCGCCGCCTCCGCTACATGAACATACTCAAGCTCGTTAAGACCACTAAATTGTCAGATCGTACATTCCATCAACTGAACTCCTGCGTCGTCGTTCGAACTCCCGGCTACAGGTCCGACAATCTCGCATCCTCCGTCTGGTTTACGTTCATCTGAAGCCTCGGCCCTTTCGCTTCTGCATTATCATGCTTCCATACCGATATTCAGCTCTTCCGCTTCCCGAAGCAGGCAAATACACAAGGCTTCTGAGACTGAGTCCTGGCGACTATTCAGATGACCTTCACGTGGAGCTGGAGCAAGTGCTTTTGGATGACACATCCAAGTACGAAGCTTTATCCTACGTCTGGGGCTCGACAGCCGATCCGGTTCCCGTTCTTGTCGGTTCTTCCCGAAAACGCACCATCTCGGTGACGCAAAACTTGGCGACAGCATTACAGCATCTCAGAGACGCGAACGAAATTCGAATATTGTGGGCAGATGCAGTGTGCATCAATCAGAACGATATGAAGGAACGAAGCCGCCAGGTCACTTTGATGAGCGATATCTACCGAGGAGCATGTCAAGTTGTTGTCTGGCTTGGGCCCGAAGAAGATGACTCCTTCCATGCCTTCAACGCGATGCACTTGATCGGTTCGATCATCGATGTGGATTGGATCAATCTTTCATTCAAACCTAAGGTGGCGGTCAACGATCCATCTTCTGGTGTGCTAGAAGGACCGCGGAAATACCGGCTTCGAGACAAGGAAGCCCATGCTGTCAATTGTCTCTTGCGTCGACAGTGGTTTGAACGTCTCTGGACTCGGCAGGAGATCGGGCTGGCCACTCAAGCAATCATTTGTTGTGGTAGACTCTCCATGCCTTGGCATCTATTTAAGGATGCTATCTTCTTCATCTACAGTGAAGGTAGCAGCCTGATGAATGGAGCACTTGGAAATCAGCTGGAAAGTTTCATCTTCCATTTAACACGGGTGCACAAAATCTGCCAAAAACGGGTATATTTTTTCCAACGTTTGCGAGGAGACCTTGCCCATGTTGCGTGCGCAGACCTTCGAGACAAGATATATGGCGTGTTAAGCCTGCTTCATCCAAGCCAACAGAACATAGGCATTGTTCCGGATTATAATCGGGATGTAGCTCTTGTCTACCGAGACACTACTACACGATTCATAAATCACGCGAGAAATCTATCCATACTCATCCAGTGTGAGCTACAAGACACTCCTCCCCATATGCCAACATGGGTCCCAGACTGGTCAACTGACCTAAAAGCGGAACTAATTAACGGATCGAGCGATGCAAGCGCTAATACCGAGTCGATTGCAACTAGCAAAGCAGAAGGGATGTTGAGTGTCGCTGGTGCGGCTGCCGCGATGATAGAAGATGTACAACCTCTGCATCTCCGCGAAAGTGAAGACGATTTTCAAACCACGCTAATGGCTCTTTGGAAGATGGTCATATCCAATCTGGCAATTTCAAATGACATCGAAATCCCTCAGTTGTCTGCGGTGTGTGAAATTGTTTGTTGCGGCATGTTCCGCCATTCCACTATCCCGGTCCGAAAAAACTATCCAGAATTTGAGCTCGTCGTGCAGATGCTCAAGTCTATATTGACAACCAACTCCCCATTACTCGAAGATCTGGACTTCATTTCTCATTGGAACAGATACGAAGGCTTCGTCAGACATATGTGTCACAACCGGTCCTTCTTTGTCACGACAGAAGGCTCAGTTGGCCTCGCTCCACTATCCGCCAGACCGGGTGATATAGTTTGTGTCCTTTTGGGCTGCCGTTCTCCCATCCTACTTCGTCAGACCGGACCTGAATCCTATCAAGTTGTTGGCCAGTCATACATGTCGGGAATGAACGCCGGAGAGGCACTGTTGGGACCTCTACCCAAGCACCTATGGCCAATCCATTACTATGACGAGGACGCAAAGGGATACAAATTTGCCTTTTGGAATGAGCGCACAGAAAATGTACAGTTCCAAGATCCCAGACTGGATAAATTGCTCCTCAACCCCGGCTTTCAAGTCCATGATCGTGGTCACAACAACTTTCCAACAATCGAGACAAGTGTGGAGGCACCCAGAAACGCCGGTATCGCGGCTCAATACTTTGATCTTGTCTAGTCAATTGCGATCTTCTTAAACTGTACGTAGAACACGTCACTGAGACTGCGATGACGCAGAGCGAGCAGCGAGCCTCTCACAATCTCCGTAATACAAACTCATCACCTCCACACAAAACTACTCTTGAATGAGGGACATCGCAATCATCAGAGACGAGTCAAACACTCCTCTCTGACTCGTTCAGATGGATAGAGTCTTATGCGTAATGTTGCGGTACATCAGTCAAGTTTTGTGTAGCTTTTCAACCTTCTTCAGCGCTGTAGTTTCGTCCTTGCAATTGATGTCAGCAAGTAGTTGTGTGGCAATACACCCAGCTTCTGCACGTGTACTCGCTCGCATATGCGATATCAAGACATGTTACTTTGGTTTGTTCGCATTTACCGTATAGGTGGGGCTTCCTGTCATGTTGATCCCAAATCGTCAGTTTACTGATGACATTGACCACGGCTGTCGCTCTTGAGTGCTTTTTGGAATCATGTATCCTCGAAAATCATGAATAACGTTCTGTTTCTATCGTACTATCTAGGAGAACAACGTATCCAATAATCGCATGCACATCTCCCACCCCAATCCTCGCCCTCTCCTCCCCACTCGTAAATCTGTCCAACTCAAGCTCCTCTCGTCCCTTCTCTTCAAACCCCAACCTCCCATACAACCCCCTCGCCTTATTCTCCTCCCCGGTCTCCAGATACACAATCACACCCCTCTCATCAGCCAATTCCAGTATATGACCGATTAGTTGCGCAGCTAACCCCCGTCCCCGATGCCCCGGATGCGTCGCCAAATTTTCGAGAAGGAAATGAGGAGCACCTTGTAATATGCGCTCGCGTAAAACCCTGAGACGCGTCGTGAATTCCAGGATGAGAGCTGTGTTGCAAGATGCGGGGAGGGAGTTCAAGTATATCTCTTCATCAAACGCTTCTCTCTCTTCTCGTTCTTGCCCCGTTTCCGTTTCTTCTCTTGACTCCTCACCGTCTCCCACGGATATAGAAGGAGGTACACTCCACTGCGCGACACTGACGACATCCTCACTTTCCTCTTCACGCGCAACCATAAACAGCATACGTTTCTCTGCTATCTGCTGCGCGATGCGAGGCGTCATTGCCTTAGCCAGGTCACGTGGTTCCACGTTGCCGAATTGGAGGCGCGAAAAGGGGGATTGCCATGATAGTGCGAAGAGGGAGGATATCGCCGAAGCGTCTGAGGGGAGCGCGTTTGAGATTGCGTAGGGAGGAGGCATTGGGAGAGGGTGTTGCTGGGTGTGGATACTGATGTTGAGATGAGGGTTTGCGGGTGAGGTAATGGATGGATAGATGTTCGGCGTGCCAAGATATCGGTCGGTGCTCGGAGTGGGAGCGGAGTTCGAGATTTGACGAGATGAGCCACCTCATACCAGGGAAAAACTGAACACCCAGGAGCCTACGTCGCTATTAGGCTATCTGCTTTACACGTTTTTATCTTAATGTAGGCCCTAGGGTGTTCAGTTTTTTCCTTAAATGGGGTGGAGCTAGGCAGGGACGACCTCGAGAAGACACGATGTGACGATGAGCGGAAGTCATGAATCGAATGCGGCATAAAGTCTTTCGAGAACTTCAAACAATCGTATTTCAACACCTGCAACCCCTCAGCACGATAATCTAAAGGTACCAACGACTTAGTCCTAGACCGAAGACCAAGACGTCAAATGAAAGACAAAAAAGTTCAAATTCTCAAGAAACTGAAAGCATTCATTACATCATTCAATCATACCACAACCCAAGCCCACCCACCCTATAGTCTTCAAGTCGAAGAAAGTAAGAGAGAAAAAAGATGAGCCGGCACCGCCTACGAAGCAGCTGAAGAAAACCGGAAGCTCGTGGTATAGATAAAACATGTCTTTCAGAGTATAACAAGGCGCGGCACGAGATCACGCTCGTCTGTTGTGAAGAACAAACGCACGCAGGACAGAACCAGCTGATTTCCTCCAACCAGCTCTGCATCCCGCAAATGTGTGTTAGGGTAGGATGATGCGATAGTGGCGTTCGTTCGGTCGGTAGAAGAGAGAAGAGCAAAAAAGAGGTATTTGTGAAGCCAGCCTCCCTCCACATACAGACACAAACCCAAATTTCGCCGGGGCAAGAAGGGTATGTTTGCCCCTAGGATATATCATGGAACGGGAAGAGAGAGTAAAAGAGCAAGCGGTGTATGCCGAGCACGCCGTGGAAGAACGCCTGAATCAATGCCCCAAATGGTGTAGTAGCGCCCGTGATGCCGAAAAGCAGTGTAATAACAGAATTTACCGTTGGCAGAAAAGTTCAATCTCGCCGAGGCCGCCGCCGGGGTTGAGATTGCTTTGCTGCTCTTTCCAATTCTCAAACGCCTCTTGTACGTCGTCGTCGCATTGAATGCTGACGTATGTGTTGTCGCTGTCCAGGTACTTTAGCTTGACTTGGCCGGAGCCAAGTGAGACGGATGTCGATCGCTGGAGCTTGGCATCGATGCGATCTTTGAGCGACTGGTAGCTGATGTTGGTGCTGACGACCAGAACCATCGAGCTTCCGGCTGATGGGCAGTGCACCTTGACTTTGAGTTGTGTCGGTATGCTCGAGTCTTGGCCAAGCGGTGGCGACATGTTTCGTGAATCCATAGATGCGGGTGTCAAAGTGCCCTGGCTTCGCTCAAACGATGATGCGGGCGTCATTGTACGTATTGGGTAGTTCGGATCGCGGCGCATGGCATTGTTGTGGTACTCGTTGTTCGCGTTGGCCAACTCCGCGGCGGTTCGTTGCTGTATCAAGCGGTCTCTTTGGATCGCTGGTGACTGGGTTGCAGCGCGTGGCGGTGGGTTGTTGGGCGAGTTACTGTTACTTCGGTTGACAATCGCGGCATTGTAGGCGTAGTGGGTAGGGAAAGGTGGCACATCTGGTACTGGCTGTGACGGCGGCGCTCTTCGTGTTTGTCCTTGGAGATGTGAGTTGATGTCAGGGCTACTAGCTGCCCGCAATCTACCTTGCTGTGAAAGAGTGGAATTGGCCGGAAGTGACGGGCGTTGCATCGCACGGCCTTGGGGGTGTTGAACGTTCTCGCCCCTGGATCCGTGGCGCGACTGAGCAGGAGCAGTGTGGCGGTTATTCTCATCGTGAGAATATCCGTTTGGTGGAGCTTGACGGGGAAAGGGGAATGTGCCGTTCGACGACGAGCTTGTGCGGGCATTGGAGTGTGTTGACATGGGAGTTTGCATTGGTGTTTCTGCCGTAGGTGAGAAGTAGGATTCATTGTTGGAGGCATTCTGTATCTGCTGGGTGCGCAGGGTTAGTGCTGGCTGACCGTTGTAGCCCATAGGAAAACGTGGAGGCGGTACCCTTGAGTCTCCATCTGGAGGGCCGCTTTCACCAGTCGTTGACCGCGAACGCAACGAGGGCGTGGAACTGTTTTGTCTGTAAGGATAGCCTGTGACGGGGTCAATATCCTCGTCGCCATCTTCATCGTCGTCTTCCTGGTAGGGGTTTTCGAGCACTTGATCGCGCATGTACGCGAACTGGGTATCTGATGGCTTGGAGGCTGTGGTGCTGGCACTGGTGCGCGCCTGGTCCTTCCACACGCGGCGCTGGGTATCGACCTGCATGGCCCACTTTTTCATGGTTTCCTCGGAGGTGAATTTGATGATGAAGTTTTCGATTCCAGGGTCGCCCTTCCAGAAGATCTGACATGTGTAGGAGCCTGAATGGTCAGTGGGGATGGGGGGAATCGGAGGTGGTGGACATACCTGGCTTCTGTAGGGAGATGGTCTCTGTGACGTTTTGCATGAAGATGCGGCCTTTGAGTTGTAGTTTGGGCTTTCCGTCTTTAGTGACCAGGGTTCGCGTGGACATTTTGTTCTTTGGCTTGTTGACGTTGATCTCTTTGCAGCAGAGTAGTATCATTTCGAAGAGGTAAATCTTGTACTGTAGGGTATTAGCAATGTACGCAGAGTTTGGTGGTGGTTGTGCCTACCTCGCGCTCTTCGTTCTTGGAAGTCATGCTCTCGCCTTTCAGCACCGTGTACTGGCCGTGCAGAAGCAGGTCTCCGAAACCTTCAATTCGGTGGCCCTTCCAGTCCTCTACAAGCGTTTTGAGCTCCTCGACCGCTTCGACGCGTTCTTCCCGAGCAATCGCATCGTTGGTGCCTGCGAGCACGGAGGAGGCTGCTTCGATGCCCTTGGAGATGTCTTCGCGTCGTCCTTCGTCTAGATCGCCCTTGTCTCGGAGTTGCTGCAGTGCGTTAGAGATGGGATTCTGGGCTAGTTTTTGGAGATCATACCTGAAGTAGGAGGGGGTATTTGGTAAGTCGTTGGAAGGGCTTCAGCAGGAAAGACGCGAGGAGAGTCGGCGATTCCACCATCTGTCGCATCTCTGCCGGCCCGCCCGTCTCCTTCAGCTTGTCGAATTCGCGCATGGCGATCTGCTCGCACTTCTTCTGGTTCGCGATATACGGCTCGTAGACCTTGAAGGCATCCTTGTACAGCACGAAAAGGTTGCCCCAATTTTGCTCGTCCGGGTGCTGTGCATTGGTCTGCTCGACGCGGATGAGGAAGCGGCGCTGGAAGTCGAGGAGGGCGTTGAGGTTGAGGAAGATGTCGTGGACCTGGTCGCCGCTGATGACGCCCTTCTCTTCGACCAGCTTCTTGAACTCCTGCAGCAGCTCCAGATGCTGCACGTAGGTGCGCTCCGTCTTGACCAGCTCGTCGATGATGTGCTCGCGCTGGGTGCGCTTGGTAACGACGCCGCCGACATTCTCGAGGGTCTCGGCAACGCCAGCGATCTTGCCCTGGGCGACCAGCTCGTCGAGCACTTTGTTGACCACGTTGGTGACCTGGGGAAGTGTTAGCGCGGGCCTACCCCACAGTCTCGTCGTGCGGGCTCACCTTCACAAAACCAGTTGTGTCGTCACCGTACAGGTCGCCGAGGATGAAGCAGCTCTCCTGGGGGATGCCCAGCTCGGCGACGCAGCTCTGGATGAACTTGTAGCAGGCCATCTTCTCGTTCTTCTTGAGGCTCTTCTCGTCCTGCTTGGAGCTGGGGATGCTCAGCAGCGTGCGGGGCCCCAGGGCGTTGTACAGCTCCATGAGCGGGTAGCCGCGGCGGAAGGTGCGCCAGAGCAGCGTGACGGGGTCGGCATCGTCGTCGGCCTTGCCCTCCTCCTCGGCGATCCAGCGGTCGAAGCCCGGGATGAAGCGCAGGCGCATCTGCAGCGTCAGGCAGCGCTGGAACAGCGAGGTGTCCTTGTCGGCCCGCTTGTTGAGGACATTGTCGCTGGCTTCGACGGGCCCGCCATTGACGGGCGTGGAGGACGTGGGAAAGGCGGGCGGGGGGTGGAAGAGGGTGCTGCTGCTGGTGGCCTGGGTGCTCTGCGTGTCGCGCGCGCTGCTGTGCGAGTAGCTCGAGTAGGTGCTCTGGAAGCTCTGGTGCGACATGAGGGCAGGCGGCCCGGTCGAGGTCATCCGGGCGTGTGCAGTGTGCTGTGAGGGCGACTTGGGGGGTGGATGGGAGACGGCAAAGGTGGTATGGGCTCTCACCAGACCCGAGTGAAACGATAGTCCGCCCTCCATGCTGCTTTCATCGATCTCCTTGCGCTCGCGCTAGCACCTAGGCGGTCAGGGTCGCTGCTGCTAACTGAACAGGGCGGCGATGTGGAGCGTGCGGCGACAGGAGCAAAATCACCGCCGGCCTGCATTCGGGTCGCGATAATCTCTTATTGCTGGAGATGGGCGATAATCGTGTAATCTCGCAGGACGTCTCGCATGAGGTGTCGGGCGGCGCACGCCTAAAGGGGTTCACGGCTCGTCGTTTCACCCGCCCATGTAGGCGTTGCAGCCGGCACGTGACTGCGACTACAAAACTCAATACACGCCCGTCACTGGCATCTGCTGGCTGTCCCAGACAGGCTGGCAGCTGTCCGTTGGGCGCTGCTTGTGCCAACGACGCTGTTTGCAGCACGGCTCGGTGACACCCCACAGCCATGCGGCGCGTCGCCGTTCCACTCATTTCCAGTGCCAGTCCTTTGATCACGACCGAGTCTGCGATATATGACAGCTGACTCACAACGGCGCCTCGCTCATGACTTGCGATGACTTGCAAGGTTAGCAATGTGAATGCACGCGCGTGCCTATCACATCATCTCCAGCATCTGCCGCCTGCGGTTCGTCATGTCGGCACAGGCGCTGCCTTGGGCCGCGATCGCCCCTCTGCCTGCCCGTCGCGGACCCATTTCTCCAGCCTTGCTAGCCCCAAGTACACCACGCGGCTCATGCGAGTATTGCTAGAGAGCGGCAGTCGAGCGGTGTGAGAAAGCAATTCCCATTCTGTGGCCATGAGGTTGCCGGGAAGGCCATGGGAGGCTGGATACGCGCCCGTTCTCACATGCCGTCCGACGGGCACACAGTATTGGTCCACCTCAGGCGAACGCGAGAGCAGGTGATGTTCCCGATCGGCGCTTGAACGCCCGCAGCTACCTGGGCGATATAATAAAAGCTTCAAGACAGCCGTCAGACATCCACGTGAAGTTGTCACATCTGTCAGGCATCGTCAGGCATCCTCAAACAGCGTTAACAGCACAAATTCCCCCACGATGTCCCAACAGTAAAACTCAAACAGGCGATTGCGCAACCGTTGACTAATCGCTGCTTCACGTAGACGGCACACCTTCACATGAAAGCAACGACATCGGGGAATTGTTGCATTTCTTCTAGCCCGCATCCTTCAACTTCTAGTGCATCAGACCGTTAAGCGGGCATCTAGCGTCCCTCTCCTGGTGTGTCTCAGATGCAGCGACTTGGCCGCACGAGTAGTAGTCCGCATGCCCTAGGCAGCTCGGCTAGCGGCAGATCTGGAGTGAATGGGCGCGGGTGCACGGGCGTGTGTCGCGGGAAGCCATGACATGCTGCACCTGGGCATCTCGAGGCTCTGCGAAAGTGGGAGAGCCATCGCGAAGTTGACATTTCCATCCTTGACTTGACCTCACCCCGCCGTGATAAGCCGAACGCGCATCGCACCCCGTACCTCGCCACCCGTCGCTTTCCGCATCGCCAGTACCGTGATTACCAAGAGCGCCAGGCAGCACCAACCTCACCACCCTGCCAGCGCATGTTGAGACAGCATAACACAATCCTCTCACCGCAGTCCAGCGCGCTGCAAACGGCCGCAGCATCACTTTTCAGCTAGCGACCTTTGTCTCCACTCACCCACATCCTCGCGTGCACCACCATGGCAGGCCCTCTAGGCAACCCCAACGCCCAATTTTCGGGCCCGCCCTACATGCATCCTTTCCGCCCCGCCTCTGCCATGAGCGCAAACCGCTTCGACGAAGGCTACTCCGAGGACACAAGGAGCCAGAATGAGGGCGACATGGCTATGCGCAGCGACGTGCGCTTGACCGACGCCGAGATGGACGCCGACTCGCCGTTTGCCCTGCCCGACTGGGTTATGAACCTGAGCGAGAACGAACGCAGTGGTAAGTACATATCACGAGAGCATGCGCGTCTGCGCTGACATCATATAAGAATTCGCATACGCCATACTACGCTCGCTGCGGACCTCCTCGATAGCCGGTATCGTCGAGAAGCTCAACCCACTCCTCCATCTCGACCCTGTCATGTACCTTCCACCCGAGATCACCTTCCAGATCCTCTCATATCTCAACCCCGAGACGCTATTACGCGCGTCGACACTGTCCCGCTCGTGGAGAGAACGCGTGCTCGACAGCCCCTTATGGAAATTGCTTTTCAGGCTAGAGGGCTGGAACTCCAACTTCCCACAGGTGCGCGCATACGAGGAGGCGCAAAGACAGAAGCGCGCAGAGTTTAAGGAGAAGGAGCGGAAGACGCGACACAGAGCCGCCGAAGACACCGATTACGGCAAACCATCCCACAAGAAGCGCGTGCGAGAACGGCAGTTGTTTGGTGACGGGGCCGCGTTGGAAAATGGCACACAAAACATATCAGAGCCAATGGCCGTTAGTGGCTCAGCGGGCAACGCTTGGGGCGAACAACACGGTGCTGTAGAGGCTGATGACAGCCCATCCGTCAGGTCTGAGGATAAGATGGAGGGCATCTCCTTCCACGGTGCATCGCCTACAGCCTCGCCCACCGACGTGGCACGCCGAGAAAGAAGACAAGGCGCGGTCACCGAAGAGGCGTCACAGGCGAGCACCTCCGCGGAGACCAACGGGCCTCCGATACACCCCTCGTTGCTGCTTCCAGGCCCAGAAGCAAGGATCAACTGGCAATATCTCTACAAGCAAAAGAGGAGGTTAGAAGAAAATTGGAGCACTGGCCGTTATTCCAACTTCCAGCTACCACACCCTAACCACCCCGAGGAAGCTCATACCGAGTGCGTGTATACCATACAGTATTCTGGGAAGTTCCTAGTGAGCGGCAGCAGGGATAAGAGCATCAGGGTCTGGAACCTGGACACTCAGCGCCTTGTACACCCGCCACTCGTCGGCCACGCAGCGTCCGTGCTGTGCTTACAGTTCGACGAGCGCCCCGAGCAAGACATTGTAGTCTCTGGTGGCAGCGACTGCAGAGTGATTCTGTGGAAGTTCTCCACAGGACGCATCATCAAGGAAATCGAAAAGGCGCATTCCGAGTCGGTCCTGAATCTCAGGTTTGACGATCGCTACCTAGTCACTTGCTCGAAAGACAAGACGATCAAAGTATGGAATCGCAAGGAGATGCTGCCCACGGACGACACCTACCCTTCATCCACCATGAAGTCGGGCGCTCGCTTCCCCTCTTACATTATCAACATGCAGGAACACGTCGAGAGCCAACACCTCCATTTCAAACCCCTCCTTCCGTACAGCCTGATCATGACTTTGGAAGGACACGGTGCTGCAGTCAATGCCATCCAGATTCTTGATGGTCAAATCGTGTCTGCATCTGGAGATAGGAGTGTCAAATGCTGGGACGTCCGCACTGGTGCATGCACGCGAACCTTCTCGGGCCATACAAAGGGTATTGCATGTGTTCAGTTCGACGGACGACGCATCGTTAGTGGCAGCTCGGACGAAAGTGTACGCATCTTCGACCGCGCAACTGGGGCAGAAGTAGCCTGCTTGAACGGCCACAGTAATCTTGTGCGCACCGTGCAAGCTCAGTTTGGCGACCTTCCTGGCAACGAGGAGGAGCTCGAAGCCGAAGCGCGGTCAATTGATCAGAACTACTTCGCAGCCCAGGCCAGTGGCCAGCTCACTGGTCAGAACCTCAGCCGAGAACAGCGACGCGCTCGTAACGCCGGTTCTCGTGACCCGTCGAAGGTATTCGCCTACGGGGCCAAACTACCACCCGGCGGCGGCGGTAGCAAATGGGCGCGCATAGTCTCTGGCTCGTATGACGAGACAGTCATCATATGGAAGCGAGGCCCAGACGGAGCATGGGAGAAGTCTCAAACCCTCCTCCAAAACGACGCCGTCCGAGCAGCCGGTGGCCGCCCCCGAAGACCTGTCAACCACGCAGCCAACGCAAACCACCCTGCCCAACCCCCCAATCAACAAGCAACCCCACAAACAGCTGCACAACAAAACAACTTCCAAGCCCTCGCACAGCAAGCACAAGCCCAAGCCCAAGCAGCCCAAACCCTCGCCCAACAAGCCCACGCACTCCACGCAGCATCCCAAGCAATGCATGGCCCTACCGCCGCCGCCGCCAATGCACCCGCAAACACAGCAGCCACCGCCAACCCAGCTCCCACGGCGAACAACCCTCCCACCGCAAACGCCGCACCAGTACAGCAAGGTGCCGCCGGCCCTGCGAACGCTGCACCACACCACCACCACCATCATCATCATCACCAGCCTCACCCTCTCGCCGCGCCTCTCACCAACAACGGCACTAACTCACGTGTCTTCAAACTGCAGTTCGATGCCAGGAGGATTATCTGTTGTAGTCAGGATCCGACCATCGTGGGGTGGGATTTCGCGAATGGGGATAGGGATATTATGCTTGCTAGTCAGTTCTTTGGGGACTCTTACTAGGTGTAGGAGAGGGTCTGGTGCTTTGAGTGGTATTCTGGTGCTTCTCGAATGTGTTTGGGTGAAGTTGGTGGCGATAGGGGTTATTTGTATGATGATTTATGTATATAGGGGCATGTTTGCATCGCATTGGGTGGTGGATTCGGTTTTGGTGGGTTGTTTGTAGCGCCCTCATACAGGTTAATGATATATCAGACCAACTATACTTGTTCAATTTCCGAGAGTTCTGGCGGTACAGTGAGGGTATCTGATCGTTCCCTACCGTATCGTCGACTTCCCATCTAGCGACTACTCTCGAGGCAAGCTACCCCTATAGTCGCACGCAAGACAGTCATGGACTATGGGCACCTCCCAGGCCGACACGTCGCTGGCTAGGGTATGCATGTTGTCTGGTTCGCGCTGCGGTTCAAGAAATATGGTTGCCTTGCACAGGTGACTTTACAGATGGGACGGTTGGCCACGCTGTGTTCT